TATAGACTAAAGAATATTGATTGTCTCTAAGCAATGTGATAACTTCCACTTATGCAATATACAGCAATACATGTTGTATTATAAACCAATAAACATCCAAACATCAACCCTTAAATACAATTAGGCCTATGGGATAATTATGAGCAGGTGTATTCGATTGAAAACTACCAAATAATAATGGTCAGACAATCCCTTGTGCCAAGCAAATGCAAACTCTTCACAGTATTCTGAGCTCTTAAGCAAACATGCCTCCTATCACTAATCCCCCTGTCCTTGCCCAATGGAGAGTGTTGCTCAACAACACAACATTAACGAGAATATTGGGGAAGAAAGGGAGAGAAAGAGAGAGTGTGTGTGTGTTCCCCTACCACGAGTGAGGTTGACCTCTGCACAGACTGACCCAAGATAGATAAGGGAGAGTTGGAAGAGGGGGAGAGATCTACTCTGTTGTTCCAACACTATGTATCTACACTGGATCATACACATTATCACAATGGCACTGTTGCATAGTATATCACCTAATTTACAATTAGAGTAGGTTCTGAATGATAGATTTTAAATCTGGAACTACCATTCATGATATTAGACTTACCTTTTCTTTATCAACCCTAGACTAGCTTTATAGTATTTACAAACTCCAATACTAGGTGGAGGATAAACGTTCATATAGCAGTTCGGTACCTCGTTTATAATTTGACATAGTTACTATTCTTTGCATCAGAAAGTTCAACCTCAATGGAAGTACTCGTACAATGTATACTTCTGTTCTGACATAGAAATCAAAGTCAATACTTTTAAGAACGGTAAGAGTACCACGTGCATCGATCACCACGTGCCCGGCACATTTTTGCTTGCCTGCGCTGCATGCACTCACCGTACACACACATTAAACTCCATATCAAACAAGGTATCTGATTGGTCGATCAATTCCAGACGCATGCGCAGTAAACAGCATCCGTCTGCAAAAGGGCACACGTGTGCTAATAAAGTAACAGGCGTGTGCTATCGCACCTTGCACGCGCCTGCTAAATAACAGGCGGTGATTGGTCAATTTAGCAGACGTGTGCCGCGTTCCTTACGTCTGGGGCACGTGAATAAAGTCACCAACGGCTTTCCATACAATTCTGGTGGATTCAAATGGCGGCTTCAACCCGGCTTCAATCCTCACTGGGATCCCGTTTACACACATAAAACTGCAGGCTTCAACCCGGCTTCAACCCCCTCCCGGCTTCAACCCGGCTTCAACCCTCGATGCGGATCACTGTGTAAACACGGTACATATTTCCACGATATGCGCGTATCGTTAGTATAAAAACCTCCATTGATAAATAAAGGTGGCATGCGGAATGTTAAAGGTAATACAAAGTTTTGATATGGGGTCATGAATTTGGTGCAAATGAAAATATTGGAAGCATATGCGATACTACAATATCCAGTGATCGTTGTCGCGGTTGAAATCGAGTCGAAAGTTATGAAATTGTAGATAATAAACTCTTTATGTTGTATAGCTCCCTCTCAAGGTCAAGACATTTCTTAAGCTATAAAACAATGTTTCTTGACTAAAATCGACCGATAGCTTTTCCCGTTTGGAAATTATATATCACAACTGCATATTCTGAGATTTTCATGGTCGCAGCTACCATTGTACGGCCGTAGGCGCTTTTTGAATTTTATCAACATTTACCGGGAGCACCGGTAAATGTTTATATTCAATTTTTCTCGAAAACAGACGTGTATTAGGGGCTACATTTTCTAGTGCTTACAATACATCAACAGGGGCATCCAAATATATCGAATCCCTATCAGCCGTTTTTTCAAAATTTCCGAAAACTTTGTATTACCTTTAAGGAATTGAATTCCTGTTAACTTTCCTTTTCTTTGAATGGAATTTTATATGTGATTTAATTCCAATTTTTATTATTGTTATGTTCTTTTGGGTTGAAAATACAAACCATCTTTACTCCTTTACTGCATTTCTTCTTTTTTGTGTAGGGGGGGGGGGGGCGTTTTGGGGGGCAAAAGTGCGTTTTGCCCCCCCCCCCCACACTTTTTTGGTTGTGGGGGGGGGGGGGGAGGCAAGTGCCCCCCTGCTCCCCTCCCCACTTCCGGTGCCTATGTAAACAACGTCTCGCGACGTGACAGATCACTTTTCTCTAGCTTCTAACCAATCAGAAGGCCTCGTTTTTTTCTTCCAGGAAGTGCTGGTGGACATTAATGCGCCAAATGTGGTTCTCAAATTGCAAAAGAACCCTACACTTGGAGGGGGTAGGGGAAAGCAATTTACGTCATATTACTCCAGGAAGTGCCTGAAAATGCGCCTAATGTGATTCTAAAATTGCAAATGCTTTCTACTCACGGAAGGGGTTCTGACCCTTCTACTTTGACAAATACTCCTTTTCCTTTGTTAGAAGTGTCCCTTCCCCCTTTTTATAGTGCCCCTTTCACATCTGATAAGTGTCCCTTTTATTATTGTGACTCGTGCCCTCTTTCCTTTCTAATAAGAGCCCCTTCTCCTTCTCCTGCCCCTTTTAAACTCTGATCATGGTAAACGCCCCTATTAACATCTAAAAAGTGTCCCTTTTCTTTCGACAAATACCCCTTTTCTATTCTCATAAGTGCCTCTATTCACCTTTGATGGGTACCCCTTTACCTCTGATAACTTGCCCGTATTCAAATCTGAGATGTGTCCGTATTACATTGACAATTGCCCCTTTTCCTTTATAATAACTTGCCCTTCCCCTATGGTAAGTGATTCTTTTCATCTCTGATGAGTGCCCCCTTTTATTTTGATACATGCCCCATTTTCTAACAAGTGCCCTTTTCCTTCTGATAAGTGTCCCATATTTACTTCTTTTTTAAAGAGCCCCTGCCCCTTACCTTCGACAAAGGACCCTTTTCCTTTATAATAAATGCCCCATTCCATTCTCATAATTTATAAGTGATTTTTAAATTTCTGGTGAAAGCCTATATTTTACCTCTGATAATTGCCTTTTTTGAAATATCACAACAATATTTATTTATTTATGCATATTCACAACTTCACAATTCACTTGAGATAACATCACATGAAAAAGAATAATTTTTATAATTTAACAAATCATTTTCAATTTCACAATCCTTTTGAATTGACTTCACATAAAAAAAGAACACTGATAACAATGTTTTGTCAAAGACAAGTTGCAACTATTATACAGTTTAAAGAATGAACACATAAAGGTGATGAAACATAAACAAATAGAGCTTGAATCGTTACAACACCTTTCAAATAATTATATGACAAAAAAAATTCATAAATGGTAGTGAACTATTTACACTATTTACAAAGAACAAGAAAAAAACCCCTGAAAAACAGAAGAATATTGTTTAGTCTAGTAAAATTTTATGTTCGATATAATGAGAACTGATAATATATGTAAGTAATATCTTACATCTGTAAAATGATAATACATTCGAGTACTCTTTTAAAGGAGTTTGTGATTTTATATTTCGAATATTGTTAGGTAGAGAATTCCACACATCTGGACCCCTATGTCTGATTGATTTTTGGGCTAAATTAGTGTGACACCGGGATTGACCATCACATAATTCCACGACGGTCTTGTTGGATATGAGTGATCCATGTTATTAGGTTGGAACACTAGATAATGAAGTAGGTAACAACCCCGCCCCCACTCCGTGAACGGAGGGATATCATGCGTGTTTCCAAACTCTCCGGCTCGTAACAAAAGAAAAAGGTCTACCCGTATTGACTTTACACACCGGACTTTTGCTGAAAGGGGGGGGGGGGGGTGCTGAAAAAGACTCGTATAACAAAAGAAAAAGGTCGACCCGTATTGACTTTACACACCGGACTTTTGCTGAAAGGGGGGGGGGGGTCGCTGGGAACACGCATATGCGTGCCCTAAATAACACTGGGTGGTAGGGGGGGGGGCGGGGTACCAACTTGATATTGAAACGGAACATAAATAAATTTGGAGGAAGTTAATATCATCAACCTTTAAGCATTTCAGTTTAACAAATAGTGGGGTAGCACGGTCAAGATAACCCGCTCTGGTACATAATTATGCGTACAGCTTCCTTTTGCAGCAGAAGAATATTATTAGTCACACACTTGGATGTTGCCCACAAAATATTACAATAGGAGATATGTGGTAAAACTATATAGCATAAGTATATTCTATCAGAAACAAAATATTTTATTTTATACAGTACGCCAACACTTCTGGTAATTGGTGTTCCTTGCAGTCAAATTTAGTTAATTGACATGTGGTCCTTTTTTCTTCTTCTAATAAGTGTCCTTTTCCCTTCTAGCTGATAAGTGCCCCCTTTTTCTTTCTCCATGTTAAACATGTGGTCTTTTCTTAATTTCCCTCAAAGTTTGCTCGTTAATCTGAAGGAAAAAAAAGGTTTATTCATGCAGTCTTTCATGATGAGACCCGTGAGGATTAGGATTAATTACTTCTTTATAAATTATGTAATTTTCGCAAAAATGAATATTCCGATCATCACACCCAACTGCAAAAGTATATGCTGCTTAAGCAGTATTTTGGACCGAATCCAACCCTGATAATGTAATCATAATGTAGGGGCCTATAACAATATCTAAACATTGCATATTTTCGCTTTGAGGTTTCCCCTTGTATATGCCTAATTCTAGTTTTTTTTCCAGAAAGTAGCCTTTTTTGTGCCCCCCTCCCGGCCCTCCCTTCTTTGGAATACGCTCCATCGCCTCTGGGGCCACCGGCTTCCTCGTCTTTGAAGCCATTTATTTTTTTTGTAAATTGTTTTTGTTTAAAGAAAAACAAATTCTAGGTTGATAAATTTCCCCCAGCTCTGTCCTCTGGTGCCACGCATATGTATTGGTGCCACCTATTTTAGAGTATTTTAGAGTTCTGTGATTGGTGCAGTGTTGACCACCAGAGGAGAGTACTTTCAGAGAGGACACACACATATGTATACAAATCGTGCCATAATTATATGTATGCGTAGCATAGCATGCAGTGCTTGCACATGCAACTCTAACATCGAAGAGTTATGTATCTTTCATGAATGAGCCCTACACTGCAGTGTCTGTGTACATCCTGGAAAAAACGATAAACATTCTCATTTGAAGTGGTCTAATTTTGTCCGTAAGTTGTATATTTTATGTTACGATGGTTGTCGTCAATTGTCTGATATTCAGAATTTTCTCATTTGGTATTTTGTGTGTTATACAAGTTTCATTCGAATAAAACCAAGTTATTGAACGAACTGTCAATGTCATCACGAAAAATAACCTCAGAAATAAAAAGTCAGAACTTGGTCCCAGATATTGAAAATTGTGCTGTACTAAATAGATTTAATCATTGATTTACTACTGACAAGGCAAAGTCCAGTCAAAATCTTATTCGTACCACTCTTACAATGCATCAGGTCTAACCTTGAATGTTATGGACCTCAGACATATCATGCATCTAGATACGCATTAAATTTAGAGCTGTTTTTGTCCACAATGACAATCGTCTAGATCTAGACCATGTACTATGTAGACCTAAACCTAGTAGATCTAGTAGTAGGGAGGCCTAGAGTCTATGCCCAAATCTAACTTTTTAATTACGAATTTGTTTAAAATAAAACAAAGATTAAAAGAAAGCATTTACTTTCACTAAGAAAACTCACCCATCTGCCGACTCCAGAAGTTCCATAAAATAGGAGATATCCAGCTTGTAAACACTCCCTTCCTTCTACGCCTTGGCCGTACGCAAGAGCCTTGAAACAGATAAATTCATGTCGCGAAATTACGTTGATAATTAGACAGGCCCGAGGGAATGGGCGTGTCATTGTCCGGACAAAGTTCATGATGAAGTTTAAAACTTCGCGCGAAAGTGCAATCACTCAACAGCGGCTAGCCTTGAATCGGTCGCACACGTACACACCGACACAGGCTAGGCAAGCCCCGATGCAGGCTGAAATCCAGCCATCAATGTGCGAACGATTACATCTTCTACTACTACGAGCCGAAGGCGATGGTTCAAAAATGAAGAAGAGATATCAAAATTGGCAGGAAATAAAGTATATAATTCATTGATATTTACCTTAGATGTGTATTCCAATAATTTGATTTCCTCATGAGTATTCCTTATTATATCAACGATCGAGAAGTTACGAGGTCCAATTAACATCCATCTTGCAGCGAACACAGCAGCATGCATAGCGCATTTCTCTCACTCTCTCTCTCTCTCTCTCTCCCTTTCGCTATACGTAACATACACACTCACTAACCATGTATGATACAACACACACCTTCAAATCATGGCTTTCATTTCAATTCTCAATTGGAGTATAGACTGCTCATGTAGACTTTTTTTTGTACTTAAATATCTTTTTTAACACTTCTCATACATTACTGCACGACACTCGAATCTAGTGCTGCGAGAATAAGGTACTAGGGTCTATAAATAAGACTACGCTTTGCGCACGATCTGACCGGAGGCTCAGTGGAGCTCAGACATATGTCGCAATACCCTTTATTTTTGGCGCGAACAATGACGTCACCGGTCACAGTTTTCCTTCTCATTTTGAGATGGCTGTAGCTATAGTATAGGGCTCAAACCAACGCAAGATTGACATAATCATCGTACTCTATCTACCTTCGCATGTTCAGTTTGTAAAATTCTGTATTTAAAAAGATATAATCTTTTTTCTTTATATTTTCTAGTTGTTAGAAGTGGCAATTGTGAACATCTGAAATGTTGATCTCTATCAAAAGTTCTTTACTCAAAACGGATCCCATATTTTTAGGGTCTACCTTCAGCCAATGAGAAGGTTTTTAGTGAGCAAACCTCTACGCCCTCTAGGATTTTCTTAGTCTGTGATGCATGTCCGTAAAGTTGTTCTGCTACGACAATTATTGGACTCAAATACGTCAAAATCTGCAAGATCGTCAACAAATGGTGAAAGACTGTTACAGATCCGTGATTATAGGTATGTTGTGAAATGTATAATTGTATTTTCTTTTCTTATTTTCATCAATTTTTTTTTTTACATCATTTTTTTCCCTCTGCTAATTTTTTGAAGTGGGCGACGAGCGCACAAATCGTAGGCGTAGAAGCCTTACGCCCGGGCATTGGCCTCCCTACTAGTAGTAGTAGTAGTAGCACTACTAGATCTAACAGCTAGATCTAACAGTTAGAGTAGGGTCTAGACCGAATTTTCCGTCTCTTTCGTTCATTAGCCTCTTATTGGGGTAGGGTCGGCTCTCTCTTTAGAGATGGAAACCGTTTATACGTATTCCCTTGCTAACGCCATGGCCATTTAGTATTAGACCCTATGGCCATATTTTTATGCCCCGAAAATCCCCCCAAATATCATTTTACCTCGTGCATGTTATATTGTAAATTAGGCCTAGATCTAGATCTAGGCTATAATAAATCGGTTCCACTTACCAACTTGACTGAAATAATCTGTTTAATGGTCCCTTTTTAGGAGATTATGGGTCAAAATCGAAATCCATGTTGAAAATCTTGCAAGACGTATTTTAACTCTCGCTGCGCATGAAGCATCTAAATCTCATCCCTTCTATTCTACGCCGAAGGCAAAATGATTATGAAGGAAAAACTGTGCGCGAGCTCATGTTCGTAATGGCGTTTGAATTTCAATTTGTTCATCAAATCATTGGCCAATTTTGCATGATCGCGCAATGCACGTAGACTGCATAGGGATGCATGCATGCAATCTATATGGGAAGGATTTTAGCACACAACATTGGGTGCGCGATCAGACACCCTACCTATAACAGAGACAAGTGATCAAATTTTGGAATGTTGGGTCATACATGTAGGTCAAAGGTCGTAAAGATAAATTGACATGTAGGTATAGGCTTTCTGTTCTCATCATATTATTTCAAGAATAATTCAAGCCATGATCTTAACTGAATTTAGGTAGAGGCACACTGTTTCTTTCACATTGCTATCGCATGACCAGGGACTCGTTTCACAAAGCCTTTTTTCAATGACAAATGACAAAATTTAGTGATAACTCTGTTCAGAAGCAAGGATTTCAGTAGCTTATAACACAAATTGTCATTTGTCACTGATGGCAAGTTTTGTGAAACGCCCCCCAGAACTCAACTTTATTCCTACCTCACAGAGAGGGACATCAGACGTGACAATGTGGCGCCTTGTGGCTCGCAGGAGCTTGCATGTCTTAACCCAGCAGCAATGGAGACGCATGGTTACAGTACAGACTCAAGGGACCTCACCCCGTGGCCTTATGAGTGCCGTGGTCGGTGGTACAGCCGGCATTTTGATTGGTGGATTTATTTGGGAAAAGTAAGCTATATGCAAGTCCTCTTTATATTATATTATGGCATGTGATGGGTGCATTTTGTTTTGTTTGTTACTGAACACTTTAATCATTTCAATATATCTGATGACGTTATCAAGCTGATAGAAACCATTAAAGCTTGAATAAAAAACACCAAATAAAATGATCCGTTTATGTCATTTTAAATACACCTCATGTTCACGATACAATTGGATAATACTTGCTATATAGGACTTGCTTTGGACTCGCCCTGCCAGTGGTGTATGTATATATTTAGCATATCATGTCGCAGATCTATAAAGCTGAGATGTACACCACCCCCCAATCAGACCTGTTTGCATCAAGCCCTGTTCAAGAATGGAACAGATTCAGGTCTTGAAATGCCCTTGTATTATGTTTTTTTCTTCAAATATGTCCCCCCCCCCCCCCTACCAAAAAAAAAGGATAAGAAAAAAGATCATTCATGTGACTAACTAGAAACAAAAACTTTAGGCAGTTATTGTTCCCTTACTACAATCAGTTCCTTTGCCTTTATTGGTATCCCCCCCCCTCCCTCCCCCCCTTGACGGTTGGGATGATTCTTCCCAGATTTGTATGCCTCCGTTACGAAGTAGCCGGAGGCATTATGTTTTCGGGTTGTCCGTCCGTCCGTACGTCCCGTTCTCGTGATCACGTTATCTGAAGAACCGATTAATGGATTCCTGCCAAACTTGAGTCATGTATGTATCTTGCAGAGCCGATGAACTGATTAGATTTTGGGGTCACGAGGTCAAAGGTCAAAGGTCACAGGGCTCATTATGTATGCAAGAATAGCTTGTAATCGCATTATCATTAGAACAGATTGATGGATTCCTGCCAAACTTAGATCATGTATGTATCTTGCAGAGCCACTGAACTGAGTAGATTCTTGGGTCATGAGGTCAAAGGTCAAATGTCATGGGCTCATTATGTATGCAAAAATAGCTTGTGAATACATTTTTTCTCTTTAGAACAGACAGATTGATCACTATTTAACTCAGGACATCTTGCAGAGCCAATGAACTGAGTAGATTTTAGGGTTATGAGGTCATATGTATATGAGAAATTGCTTGTAATCACGATATTCTGAGAACCTGTTAATGGATTACAACGAAACTTGAATTTGAAAAATTTCTTCTGTTTTGGTTTGTAAACTTGCTCTATGACGGAGGCATCATTTTCGACTGCGCGCAGTCAAAGTTCCATCTAGTTTTGTTTTTTTAGCATCTGCTATGTGCATGTTTTATACATTTTTCTTTTATTTCTTCAATTTTTGATATTTTAATTATATTTTTTACACACTGTTTATCATTGTCTTGATTTCTTTCAATTGTGTGCAATTATTTCATACACTTACAAAGAAATAATGCATATTTTGCTTGTGCGGTATTGAGGCCAATGGTTTCACTATTTGTCTGTTTGATAGAACATTGAGAGCTAGCAGTAGCTCAGTTCAAGCACAAGACAAGGAGGAAGAGAAGGGCAGTGATGAAGAAGGAGGAGGAGAAGAAGAAGAACAACAGGATGGAAAGAAGAGACGAAAAGGTCCTGGCTTCAGAGATAGGAGGGTAAGTGGCTGCAAATAGAGGGATTGAAAGAGGGCTAGAGAAAAAGAGAGACAGACAGAAAGAGAGAGAGAGAGAGACAGAGAAAAACAGACAGACAGATACAGAGAAACAGGTTCAGAAACAGAGGAGGCTTATCTCGGCCCTGTTTCATAAAACTTGTTAACAATAACAACTGCTATACCGGTAGTTCTATGGCAATTTCTTCTTTGCCAATCAAATGCCACGATTTCAGTAGCTTTAATAGTTATTGTAACTTGTTATTGATAACAAGTTTTATGAAACAGGGCCCCTGGCTTCCTCTACTTGCCAACCCCTTTCTTGCCATGAGCCCCCACCAGAGGGGGTGCTATACAAGAAGCCGTCATCTTATACAGCAAATCCCGTCAAGAATGTCAATGTTATACACTCTGACTTTTTGAACTAGACTTTCCATATACAGTCAAACCCAAGGGAAACTGAAAAATTGGTCTTTGCAGACAGGTGATCTTTGTAGACAGGTTCCTTTAGTACATGTTTCAATGAGAAACCATTTTCAAGGGAAATAAAAATTGTGGGCTTTGTAGACAAGTGGTCACTAAAGCAGGTTTCGGGTTTGACTGTAGCTGTATTTATTTTTCTTCTTGTAACATTGATAATAGTCCAGGAGCCTGATAGCGACCCTATTTAGCTCAAAAGATTTTACCTCTAAAGTTACTGAGATTATCTATTAAAGTCATTGACAGAAAGAAAGGTTGTTGGCCTCACCATAGCTGTCAGGTTGAGCCCCCCCCCCCCCAGAGTTCTTCACTTTATGTGATTGTGTCAAGTGGAAAATAATGCGTTTAATGAATTGATACCGGTACTATTCTTCTTCTTATTACAGATCATTGAGTACGAGAACCGCATCAGGGCATACTCCACTCCGGACAAGATCTTCCGATACTTTGCGACGCTCAAGGTCTACAACGAGGATGAGGTTTACATGACCCCTGCCGATTTCATCAGGTCAATCACACCGGATGAGAAGCAACCAGATGGTCGCGGTCTGGACCAGTTTAAAAAGATTGATCCTAAGGTTCGTTCATCCTGATCATAGACAGAACTTGGCCCTGTTTCATAAAACTTGATATCAATAACAAGTTACAAGCTACTGTTATAAGCTACTGAAATCAAGGCATCTGATTGGCTGAGAGCAAATTTATCATAGAAATTAAGCATTTGTCATAGATAAAAGGTTTTATGAAACAGGCCCCTTAACTAAAACAGTACTTATCACCGAAAAAATTCAGCGAATATTTTTGTTTTCTTCAATTAATAAACATACTTGCTGATTGTATATAAAGCACTTCTTGGTCAAGCTCCCACTTATATCGAAGAACTGTTGAATTTCAAACTTAATCAACACAATCGCAACTTGCGCAGCTCCCGAGATACTCTGTTGCTGCAGATCCCATCTATCAAAACAAAACTAACGCTAGGTGATTGAGCATTTGCTTGTGCAGCCCCAAAACTCTGGAATAACTTACCATTTGAAGTCGGGAAATCACCATCTGTGAATATCTTTAAATAAAAACTGAAAGCACATCTTTTCAATTAATTTAAATCTAAGCATATCAGGAGCTCTTGTAGCGCAGTAGAATATAAACTTGATGTTGGATAGTTTCTGCATTCTATAAATGTATTATTATTATACTATTCATTACAACTGTTCGATTTTGCATGTTTTTAAATCTGCAACCTGGCAAAGGTGTACAGGTGTATATGGTACTATATTTGCATTACATATACATGCATGTATGGAACCATGCATATCTTGTACGTCTTCCACCCCTACATGCATTGTATATTTGTATCAATTCATTTAACACTTCATTGGCTGAATTGGCAGTGTCAATGTGACGAAGTGCCGGGCAACTTTCTCATTTGTTCCAACACACAAAATGATTAAAATGTCAAATTTTCAAAATAAATGTCTCAGGAGGAGGGTTTTTTCTTGCTAGAGAACCTTTGATAATCCTACAATATATTTGGATTAGTGCCCCAAGGGAGAAGGCCCTTAGCAGAAATACAAAAATTTACAATATTTTTGTACACAGACAAACGGGAGAGTTGTCCGTGCATATGTCACAATCCAGTCACTAAATTGACAATTTGGTTTTGCATAGATTCAGTAATCTCATATTTCAAACACTCATAAATTTCTTGTTATTGGTCTGATGTATATTAAACTTTCACCATACAGTTTCTTTTGAAATGATTACCAGGGATCGATTGCCGTTTAATGTAAATTTCATTAGATTTGGGGGGGATTTTATTTGTTGATCGTACCAGGATCTGAGAACGTTATTCAACACTTTGCTAGCTTTGATCAACAATTGGATCAAACAGAAGACTGCAACACTAGACATTTGGCACACATACAGTATAAACTCCAAATAGTGCTGTAAGTCAGACGCTATGTTCGTGTTCGGTTCGGTTCGGCAGAGTTCGGCAATATTTCACCCGAACTTGGTTCGGTTCGGGGTTCGGTAATATAATAGCAAGCAGCGTTATAGCCACGGCGGTCGGCACTGGGCGGGGCGGCCGGCCTGCCGGGCCCGACCAGCACGGAGGACTTCTGCACACTGCCACCGACCAGCACGAATTTCACATTAAAAAACTGCTCTAAACGTAATTATTTGTGAAGAAAAATACTACTTACATTCGTATTTCCGTCTTGAATCGTGTTTTATTTTCAATTTTAAAAGAATCATGTTTTCAATTTGTCAATAAATGATATTTTTTAAAGATTTTCCGAGACGGTTGTTGTCTAATGTTAGAGTCATGAAAGCTGCCATCTTGAATAGAGAATTCAGGCTCGTCAATAACTGTTTTATATAATTTTTTATTTTTAATAGGAAAAATATAAAATCCCTATTTTTCCTGAATAAATAAATACCATACTGTAATAAATATTTATTTTATTATTTATATTGTAACATTTGTCCGATATTGTTACAATTAAAATATTAATTTGAATGGGTTTGAGCTGAACTTGTTTTGATCACGCACATGCCACATGTATTCTTGTTTATGGCTTATCGTGACGTAGCGTGGTCAGGATTTGGGATTTAAATGGCGCCAGTGAAGTCGCGCCCACCACTGGATAGGCATAAATCACAAAGGCAGAAAATGGGGAAAAAGTAAATATAAAATGAGCAATCATGACATGAAAATTAGGTACAAAATGACAAGTTTATTAGCTTGCAAAATTTTTTACATTTTTCTGCCGAACATCCGAAACAGGCCTTTGTGTTCGGTTCGGTTCGGTTCGGTTCGGAAGTGCTATGTTCGGCGAACTTCCGTTCGGTTCGGCGGTTCGGCTACAGCACTAACTCCAAACAATGTGTCAATCCAGGATTCAGATCCTTCGCAAATATTTAGTTAAACGTTTAAAAAAGTTTCTCTCGATTTGTTTTACTTACAGAAATACAAACCGGATGATTTCCAAGGTCTTGGAGAAGACAGTATTTTCAGATTACTTGGACAGTGTGGTCTTATCTCCTTTGCTGACTACATGTTTCTACTTACAGTCTTATCAAGTGAGTTTCTTTCTTATCATCTATTCATATGTGTATGCGATTGGGTTTTTACAGACAAATGTTAATCAGATATTTTCAAATCAGGGTCCATAAGAATCAGTTTGTAGGCAAAGACAGAGAGCTGACAATACCGCTAGACCTAGATCTCTCTCTCTCTCTCTCTCTCACACACACACACACACACAACACACACACATTCCCTTTATTATGAATTTTAACACAAATATCAATACGTTCCATAATAATGTCTTTTTATTTTGTTCATTCCATGAAATTCTGGGTATCAAGTCCAAAAATAGCTTACAAGATCATTAACATCCCATTGAAACCATGACAATTTCAATGCACAGGTTCAATTGAGATGCCACTGAACTTGTTCTCATGGCAGTTTGGTGAAATACTGCCCAGCCCTCTAGCTTCTATGTGGATTTTGAAAAAATATAATTTTTCGTTTTATTCAAAGGTCCCGATAATATTTTGTTTTGATAGACTATTACTAGCTGTCTTGGGATATCCAAAACAAGCTTAAATGGCATGTTCAGGTATGATGTGCCTTACCATGCACTTTAATGTTTATATGAATTCAAAGTGAGCATGAAAACAAGCAGCTGCGCGCATCAAAGTTCTTACAGTTAACACTTATTCATACCCCTTGAAAATTTGATGTTATTTGTTTTTTTCGTAACTCAAGAATAAAAGATGGACTGGTTGAATCGGGGCCTTGTTGAATACTATCAGAAGCAAGCCTTAATATGTCACATTTTCAAGAATCCTAGAAATCAATTTTTCACATATTTCCAAAATTTCAAAACTTGATATTAAAGGGAATGAAGAATTTAGTTTCAATTTCAATTTCAATTTCAATTTATTGTCCAATATTAGAAATTTGTTTTGCTCACATTTTACAAACGTACAAAGAATCTAAATAAGTTTACATACCCGGTAAATAATACATCATATACTTTGACATAGAAATTTTTCAGAATATTGCTTTACTGTATGTGTACTCACTATAAATGTATTATAAGAAACAGACAAATATGTGAAGTGTATTATGCTAAGTAACATCTTTATGGGAAAAAGAGTGCCACGGTTTACTACAACATATGTGAACATGCAAAAGTCCCTTCCTCCAAATATACTACAATGATATGTACATGTACTCCTGACGACGGATAGTCAACCTGTTCGAAACATCGAGCCACTCCTACTACCCATCCTCTCCAACCGGCGCTATAGTTTTCCTAGAAATATAACTAACAAAGATAACCAACAGTCTTTTTCAAGAGTACCAACAGTCCTTTTCAGGACTACACACACCCAAGAAAGAAAGATCACTGAGAGTCCTTTTCAGGACTCCCGATCCTCCCCCTCTCTCACATGGTGCAACTGCAAGCCATGCAAGCAGATACTTATAAGCAGCATTTAATGATATGTACTCTTTTACTTATCACAGCTCCGGAACGTCATTTTGAAATTGCTTTCAGACTCTTTGATCTGAACGGAGATGGCCATGTTTCTTGCGATGAATTTACTCAGGTAAGAGTTTCTGTGGTTATTATTCTTATTTAACCAAATGCAGCACTTCAACCTCTGACCAAACACTATACCAAACCCTTGAACTCTGACCAAACACTATACCAAACCCTTGAACTCTGACCAAACACTATACCAAACCCTTGAACTCTGACCAAACACTATACCAAACCCTTGAACTCTGACCAAACACTATACCAAACCCTTGAACTCTGACCAAACACTATACCAAACCCTTGAACTCTGACCAAACACTATACCAAACCCTTGAACTCTGACCAAACACTATACCAAACCCTTGAACTCTGACCAAACACTATACCAAACCCTTGAACTCTGACCAAACACTATACCAAACCCTTGAACTCTGACCAAACACTATACCAAACCCTTGAACTCTGACCAAACACTATACCAAACCCTTGAACTCTGACCAAACACTATACCAAACCCTTGAACTCTGACCAAACACTATACCAAACCCTTGAACTCTGACCAAACACTATACCAAACCCTTGAACTCTGACCAAACACTATACCAAACCCTTGAACTCTGACCAAACACTATACCAAACCCTTGACCTCTGACCAAACACTATACCAAACCCTTGAACTCTGACCAAACACTATACCAAACCCTTGAACTCTGACCAAACACTATACCAAACCCTTGAACTCTGACCAAACACTATACCAAACCCTTGAACTCTGACCAAACACTATACCAAACCCTTGAACTCTGACCAAACACTATACCAAACCCTTGAACTCTGACCAAACACTATACCAAACCCTTGAACTCTGACCAAACACTATACCAAACCCTTGAACTCTGACCAAACACTATACCAAACCCTTGAACTCTGACCAAACACTATACCAAACCCTTGAACTCTGACCAAACACTATACCAAACCCTTGAACTCTGACCAAACACTATACCAAACCCTTGAACTCTGACCAAACACTATACCAAACCCTTGACCTCTGACCAAACACTATACCAAACCCTTGAACTCTGACCAAACACTATACCAAACCCTTGAACTCTGACCAAACACTATACCAAACCCTTGAACTCTGACCAAACACTATACCAAACCCTTGAACTCTGACCAAACACTATACCAAACCCTTGAACTCTGACCAAACACTATACCAAACCCTTGAACTCTGACCAAACACTATACCAAACCCTTGAACTCTGACCAAACACTATACCAAACCCTTGAACTCTGACCAAACACTATACCAAACCCTTGAACTTAGGAAAGGTTGACAACTGGGAAAGGTGAGCAAATATTTGAGAATTTTTTCATTATTTTTATATTAGTATGGAAGAGTAATGAATGCTCTTCAAATGCCCTCATATTCAAAATATAATAATTAACAGCTTTAAAGTTGTTGACCACACTTTCATGCCACATGCTGGTGTAGTCCAATATACTCATTTCTCTATACAGTGCATGTGACTTTTACCAAGACTAGGCCAATATCTTATCATTTTAAAGATAAAGATCAGTTCTGGTCATGCGATTGCATTGTGAAAGAAACGTTGTGGAATCGATCAGAAAGATTGATCATCTAGCATATAAGTATTGGTGTGTACTGCAAGGTACTGGAATCTTCAAAATGATAAGAAATTTGGCCCAGTCTTGGGACTACCACACGTGCGCGACACGTGCGTTATATCTATCAGGTCCAAATAGATATACTAATTTACCAAATATATCAATAAGTAGGCGGCTTCGCAGCAAAATTTGTATCATCACGTATTAGTCAAAAGGTATTCTTTCATATGATTGGTAATAAGAGCTTCCATTTCATTTTTTGAGAGAGGGGCGTTTCCAAAACAGGTCTTTACCTTTAATGATTCCAAAACCTATATGATCAACCTTTCCCAATCGCTTCCGCACAGTTTCTTTTGCATGAGAACTCAACTAAATATAAAACCGATTTTGGAGTTAGTAATTCGGTTACCATAGGATATTGGCCATAGCTATATATTTGCTGGAGCATACATCAATGAGGCCCAGGGTTATGACTTTGCATAATTGTGAAAGGTAATTCAGTTTGGAGAATATCATCATCTCTTTGAACAATTTGCTTGCACAGTGTAATAAAGCAAATAAGTACTGACTACTGTGACGGTGGGACAAATTAACCCTCATTGTTACCTCTTAGCTTGTATGTCTGTGTGGTATCAGTGAAAACGACTACCGGTATCACATACGTGATAGGTCTTATTAAAAAAGACTACGTCATTGACCGTGCATTACTGGTTATATTCGCTCTGCATTTTTGGTTGGTATATGCTATAGATGTTATATAAAACAAACAATGAATGTTTTTCATTCGTTAAATATTGCAAATATTTTCATTTGTTGACAGATTAACGTTCTATTGAACTCATAAGCATTTATTATATTTATACTATCCCTACGACTGTCAAGATATGCAATCTATTGAAATCATAAGCATTCATTGTATTTATACTATCCCTACGAGTGTCAAGATATGCAATCTATTGAAATCCTAAGCATTCATTGTATTTATACTATCCCTACGACTGTCAAGATATGCAATCTATTGAAATCATAAGCATTCATTGTATTTATACTATCCCTACAACTGTCAAGATATGCAATCTATTGAAATCATAAGCATTCATTATATTTATACTATCCCTACGATTGTCAGGATATGTAATCTATCATCGTTCTATTGAACTCATAAGCATTCATTATATTTATACTATCTCTACGACTGTCAAGATATGCAGTCTATTGAACTCATAAGCATTCATTATATTTATACTATCCCTACGACTGTCAAGATATGCAATCTATTGAACTCATAAGCATTCATTATATTTATACCAGGCCTTCTCAACTGGCGGCGCGCGCGCCACTCGTGGCGCTTGCGGTCAGTCAGAGTGGCGCGCGGCTGTTCCAAAAAATTAATAAAAATTAAAAATTAAAAATTAAAGAAAGAACAACATTAACAAATTATATTTTAAAATAAAAAAACTCAGAAAAATCAAAAAGTCGCAGTCGAAGTTGAGCCCAAAATGTAAGGAAGCCATTTTGTTTGTTTGATTTTCACTTCATTTTGACATTTTCCGTGTTTATTTCACCAAAATAACTACATATAAATTAACTTCCAGTGTAGATTTTAGCCAGGAATTGTACTAATTATTTCACATCAATATGAAATTACGATTGATGTTTTATGGAACGAAAAGGTGTTAAAAATGCCACATCTGGGCCTTAAAAAAGCCCAAAAATCCACTAGCTTCCGGGGGCTTCGCCCCCTGGACCCCACCTGGTATCGGCTCGGTCGCTACGCTCCCTCGTAACACAGTCACCAGACATACAGGTTGGCACTTCAACCTCAATTCATTTTTGTTTTGGCGCTTCTAATAAACTAGTTGAGAAGGCCTGATTTATACTATCCCTACGACTGTCAAGATATGCAATCTATTGAACTCATAAGCATTCATTATATTTATACTATCCCTACGACTGTCAAGATATGCAATCTATCATCTGCCATGTGGCCTCATATCTTGGTATGTGGAATGTAATAAGGAATATACTGTGCGATGCATTTTTGGAATGGGATTTTACAAATATTCAGTCAGTGAATTTCAGTCATTCATGATAACAAAAATGTGAGTAAGCTGTCATTGGACAGAATCCCCAACAAAACTGCTAAATGGAATGAAAAGGGAAAATTATTAGTGTCTTTTTTACTACCCGGTATGTAGTTTTTCGAAGTGTGATAGAGCCTTCTGCACCATTTTTGTATGGGGAGAAAATTGTGTAAAACACTTACAATTTTAATTCTTTTCTTCTAATTCACCCACATTATTCCTATGATCCACTATGATAATTTACTCTTAAAGATAAGCTTGAGTTCTGGCAATGATAGAAAATAAATTCTCACAGAATCCAACAAAACTTACACCGAATGTTCAAGTGTACAAATGAATTACTTGTGCCAAACGAGTTCAGTAGAAAATGTATAGGGGGTCAGTAATAAGCATAGAAAGATAAGGAATAAGTAGGCCCGACACTATGTGCAGATGGGAGTCGTGGTTTTTATCGAAGATGATGTCCAGAAATTTTTGTGCATTCGTTATTATTTCACTGGTTCAAGCAACCAATCTACTGCAGGATAAAAAAATCCAGAATGAATTATAGCCATGTTCTCTTAACCCACCAAAAGTTGGTCATTTCACATTTAACCCCTTACTTACTTTGGTTGATCTATAGAACAACTGGGTTTGCCACAGTCCATTTTTGTCACACATAAAGTGTACATGAACAATATGTACTCCAAACAACGCGGCAGACTAGGATGCCAATTCATGGTGAATAAAGGGTTAAAAATAATTGCATCAGGGACCCATCTCACAAAGCCTTTTTTCAATGACAAATGACAAAAATCAGTGACAAATCTGTTGATAACCAATCAGAAGCAAGGTTTTCACTAGCTTATAACGAAAACTGTCATTTGTTACTGATGTCAAGTTTTGTGAAATGGGGCCCAGGGCTCCACACTTACGTTTTTTTAGGGGAAGGGGGTCTAGATTGAACTGATTTGAAAGAGTCAGAATGCATTAGCCCTATGTTAAAGGTACCATGGCCCATTTGCAGGCCAACAAAATGAAAAGGTTAAATTCCAACGTCATTTGAAAGACAACAATAATTTAGTACTTCCCTCAAAACAAAAGGGCTTGAAAATGTCTTTTAGTTAAATAGTCTGATTTTCAGACCCTTGTACCGAAGAGTCATACGTTTTGTGCTGCGCAAAGATTCAATCAGTTTAATTTTGGCTCATGTACCCTTTACAGCTCACTTTATGTTTGTTACTACCAAAGAAAACAAAAATAAGTAAGTCAGTCAATCAATAGTTTCTGATAGTCTAGAAAGTAAACAGGTTTCCTTGCATAATTTGAATACTAGGACACTGCTAACATTTAAATTTTGCAGATAGGACATATGTCCCATATTCATGATTCCTGCAAAGTTCTACAGAATTTGATGTTGGCTGCAAGAGGCATACACTACCTTTAAAACATGTCAAACCCTGATTTTATTGCATACAATAATTACATTTTTGTCTAAATTAAAATGAAGGTAACCAATGTGATGAGATCACAGACGGCTACGGGGAAGAGACATAGAGACAGGAAGACGACCGGCAACACGTTGGATAAACCGTTCAACAGCTCCCTCACGACATTCTTCTTTGGAGCCGACTTTAGCCGAAAGCTGACCTTTGAAGAGTTCAATGAGTTCCAGCGCAAACTGAGGCTGGATCTTCTCAAGCTTGAGGTATGCAGTGATGGCAATAACGCAACAAAAGGCACTTTGACATTTGCAAAATGGTTTAGGCATTGGCACACACTTTGGCGCACCAATGTGGAAAACAATGAGAGAAGTAGGCGTGAAGTGTTCATGAAGTGCATGGTATATGACCAAATATGTGTGCCAACAAATTTTCAAGAATCAGTCACAAATTGATTTCTGGCCGGCCACTGCTGTGAATGATCTGTGAGTAATGTTCAACGGTGGCGGCAAAGTATGACAAATGGCGGCGGAGCATGACGATGTGTGTTGTAATGTCTTGAAATGAAAGTAGGGTTTGACACAGTGCAAAGTGTATTTTTGAGTGGGCTGCATACCACAAATTAGCAAAAAATGGCGCTTATTTATCTTTCTCTTTCTCTTTCTTTTCCTCTCTCTCTTTCTCTCTCTCTCTTTCTCTCTCTTTTTCTCTCTCTCTTTCTCTCTCCATTTTTCTCTCTCTCTTTCCCTCTCTCTTTTTCTCTCTCTTTCTCTCACTCTTTCTCTTTCACTTTGTGTGTCTCTGTCTGTCTATCTATGTCCATTTCTCCCCATTTTTTAAATTGTTGTATTTCCTCTATTTTTCTGTTGCTTTCAGTTTGAACGTTACCACCCTGAAGATGGTCGTATCACCGAGAAGAGCCTGGGTAAGCTTCTCCTGGTGTACGCCAACCTGCCCAAGCAAAGGACGTCTCGTATGCTGAGAAGGGTCAAAAAGAAATATGAAGAGGACGTACAGGTAGCCCATTCTTTAATAGTCACACGTTTGACCCAAATCTTTAAAAAATTGTTGATTTAAAATAAATTATTCAGTATTTCATACCGGAAGTCTCCCATGTTGGATTTCTAAAAGATAATATTGCTCGTAAAGAATTGTTCACATATGCAGCCATAATTCACCATGGTTTAGAATGTTGTGAAGTAGAGATGTGGAATACTAAAATCTGTCTTAAGATGGACTGCTACCATATATGAATTCCGTCTTATATTGAAAGATAAGAGGTGCATTTTGTTTGGGGACTTTCATCACATTTTCGTCTATATTGTTAGGCTTTTAGAACGTTAATGTTGTACCTTTCTCAATGTTTCTATACAGGGTGTGACATTTGAAGAATTTGAAGCACTGCAAGCTTTCTTGAGAAATATCAGTGATGTGGACACAGCCCTGTCGTTCTATCATGTAGCTGGTGCAGCCATTGATCCAGGTGAGTTTACACAAATCAATATTCATATTCATATTCATATTCAAATTTGTTGTCCAATGATTGGAAATTTGTTTCATTTGCATGTCAGTACAAGATTACAGATTATAAACATCAATAAGATACAGATGGATACAGAATAGAATGTTTGACTTAAACATATAGGTAACAACAAATGCGATAGTTCAACATGCAGACTAAAATTCGATTCATAATGTGAATTAAATTAAATTCACAATTCAGATTAAATACAATTAATGATTCAGACCAATTCAATTCATAATTCAGATCAAATCCATTCAAATCCTGATCACATTCAATTCGTAATTCAGACTAAGTAATTAGATTAAATTCGTAATTCGGGTTAAAATAAATTCACAATTCAGATTCAATACAATTCATGATTCAGACAAATTCAATTCATATTTCAGAATATAATTCAATTCAAATCCTGATCACGTGCAATACATAGTTCAGATTAAATTGAATTCACAATTCAGGTTAAATTAAATTCACAATTCAGATTAAGTACAATTTATAATTCAGATCAATTCAATTCAAAATTCAGATCAAATCCCGATCACATTAAATTTGTAATTCAGATTAAAATAAAATTAACAATTCAGATCAAATTCAATTTATAATTCAGACTAAGTAATTGAATTAAAATTCATAATTCGGGTAAAATTAAATTTACAATTCAGATTCAATATTTCAGAATTGAATTGGTCTGAATCAATATTTCCATAATAATTAGGGAGAAGTGGGATTCAGGTTATAATTTCATATAGATATATTCCTATATTTAAGCAATTTTCTTATTTACGTGTGGAGGATGTGATAGGAACAATGAATCTTGGAAAGCCCTCATATTCCTAATTTGACTGGATATCACATGTGGGTACTTAATATAATATTGGATGGCTTTGAGTGTGATACAAGAATATATTGCTCACGCTATGAAAATATTGAACGAGTCGGAGACAAGTCCAATATTGTCATAGCGAGAGCAATATATTCTTGTATCACACAAAAACAAAGCCATAAAACAACAAAATTTGACTTACCTCAGCAAATATGGATTTGTTTTGGTGTGAAATCTATATCGAAAGTTGAAGTTCCTGGATGACTGAGCAATACGAAAACAATATTGATCAGTCATCCGGGTACTGCGCTAAAGATATTGAATACACTGAATTATTGTTCCACTTGGAGGCCTCATATAGATAATAATCCCATATTTGTGTGCAGTGTGATTCACTATATGCATTTTTTTAGCAAAATTGAGTTGATTTCTTATCAATTTGATTTTATGAGTCACTGCACACAGTTAAAGATAAACTCCAGTTCTGATAAAAAAAAAAAAAAAATGAATTCTCACAGAATCAAACAAAACTTACACTGAATGTTCGAGATTACAAATAAATGACATGTGCCAAACGATTTTGGAAGAAAATGCATACTGGCTGAGTAATGAGCATAGAAAGAAAAGGAAATCAAGGTAGTACTAGCCCCGACACCATGTGTGTTGTCCCATATGTAGCTTTCTGTGTACAGTGCTTGTTACTTTACCAAGACTCGGCAAAATTTGTTATGATTTTGATGACTCGAGAACCTTGCAGTGCACACCAATACTTACATGCTACATGATCAACTGTTTCTGATCCATTCCACACCTTTTCTTTCACAATGCAATCGCATTACCATAACTCACCTTTATCTTTAATCTTATGTTATACAAATATATAACCAATCTTTTCCTTGTAGCATTTAGAATTTTTTTTTTTTTAATGCAATCACATGACCAGAATTCATCTGTATCTTTTCACTCTTTGATTCCTCAGAAACGTTCAAGCATGTTGCTAAGATGGTAGCCAATGTAGACCTGTCGGATAGAGTGATTGGAATCTGCTTCACATTGTTTGATGAAAATGGTAAGATTCCATATTTTGATACTGAGATGCAGTCACTTTTATTCCCTCTACTTTCTACCTTTCTCTCTCTCTCTCTCTGTCTCTGTCTCTGTCTCAATGACTCACTCTGTCTATCTCTGTCTGCGTCTCTCTCTCTCTCTGTCTCTTTCCCACTCTCTCCATCTATTTCTGTTTATTTGTCTCTCTCTCTCTCTCTGTCTCTGTCTCAATGACTCACTCTGTCTGTGTGTGTGTGTGTGTCTCTCTCTCTTTCCCACTCTCTCCATCTATTTCTGTTTATTTGTCTCTCTCTCTCTCTGTCTCTGTCTCAATGACTCACTCTGTCTATCTCTGTCTGCGTCTCTCTCTCTCTCTCTCTCTGTCTCTTTCCCACTCTCTCCATCTATTTCTGTTTATTTGTCTGTCTCTGTCTCAATGACTCACTCTGTCTATCTCTGTCTGCGTCTCTCTCCCTCTCTTTCCTCTATCTCTGTCTGCGTCTATCTCTGCCCCTCTTTATCTCCCTTTTCTCTGTTTTGTTTTTATAAACATTTTTCTGTCTCTCCTTATCCAGCTTTTGTTATATATGTCTGTTTATCATTGTTAGTCAGTTTAGTTTGTTTACCGTACATTATGCTCGCCAGTCAACTGATCTACTGCATGATAAATATTTTATTATTTAATTTAAACCAGTACTTCTTGAAATGCAATGTCAATACCCGAATTCAAGATTAGCTGTAAATAATGTCTGCACATATCTGTCTCCCTCTATTAAAATTGGAAATGAAGACGTCAACCTGAATATCACAGAGGGCAGAGCAAATCCATCCAGTGTTCTCACTCAGTTTTTTAATTTTATTGCCAATTAGGCAATCAGCAATTTCGTTCTCTATCATCTATTATTCTAATGGCGGATGTTTCCTAACTGTCTTTGCAGATGATGGTAAACTGAGTAACAAGGAGTTTGTTTCTGTGATGAAGCACCGCGTCCAGCGTGGTCTGGACAAACCCAAGGAGCTAGGTCTTAGCAGGATACTAGCCGCTATGTGGAAATGCGCCAGGAAGACGCAGATCATGGGCAAAGGGGAGGATGACGTCACCCTCAAGCGAAGCATCGCCAGAGCAAAGCTCTACTCCACGGTCTGAAATAGTGACAATCATCGAGAACGATAGCGGTGATTTTGTGATGATGGTAGCGATGGAGGGAGGACTTTAATCATGGTTGATATGAGCACATCTAGGAAGAAAGGAGTACTTAACTATATCTGCTAGCTCAACGTTCAATGTAGATGACAGCATGCTTGTTTGAAACAGTGAGGGACAAGCGCATGGATTGCTGCAGTACTATGCCAACAAGACAGATGGATCACAGCTCACAAATATTATTTAGCAGCTGCCAATTTGGTGCTCAGCTAGATGGTATAGGTACTGCAGTCTCATAGTAAAAAAAGGAGATGTAGAAAGTAGGCCAAGAGTCTTGTAGAGCTTTTTTTTTTTTTTAAACCCGGAGCGCAACTGTATTAAATTGTCTATACCTTGATGTATGGTTAATTAGAACGTGCGCCATGACAGTAGAGACATTTTATACACTTTGCATAGATTACGTAATCCAAACCTTTGTTTAGGCAGGTCAGGAAGATGGCTAAAATATCAGTTATAACACAAGGTTAAATTGATTCTCATACCATAATTTGTTCTCTACTAAAGATATATTTATCCTTTCATTTGAGGCAGTCTAATGTTTGATTCCTGTTTCTAAAAGTATGTTTCGCTTTCAAAATATCGAACTACTTGATATTTTATCATCAATAGAGCAAATGGTGAATGGTTTGCGCTCAAGAAAAGGAGTAAACATTAATCTTTGTTGTATAGTCATATGAAGGTTGGATAGTGCAAGAAAACAGTAGTATTGGAATGATACATAGTATAGCTTTGAGTTTCAAATTTGTTAATGAAAATTGTTTAGTTATATAGTCATATGCAAGTTGGTTGGTGCAAGAAACTAATTATATACTTCATGAAAGAGTTTATTAATAATTATTTACTATTTAAATGATACATGTACATAGTTTAGCTTTAATCTTCAAATTTGTAATGACAATTGTGAAGTCTGTAAAGGAAAACTTATTTCCCCCTCATTTTTCTTTATCCTCTTGGGACTCATTACATATGTATTATAATATTTCATTGGTTGATGCATGTTTCATGGGACTAGTATTACCTAACAGTACATAGAGTGTACATGTATGTGTACATGTACATGTAATAAATTAAATTCAAGGATGAAGTACTAATTTAAAGCTGTGGACATGATAACATAAATATATTACATGGCTCAAGAATTTGATGTTTGGAGTGTGCATCTTTTACACTTCATGAATATTTTTTAGTGTTATATTGATAATATATTTCTGCTTGTAAACTTTTTTATTTTGTTAACCCCCCCCCCCACCACATGTCACTGATTCAATACTCATATTAGACATGTATACTACAGATGAGGGATGTCAGATTTATCTAGAATAGGTTTTGAGCACCAAAATTACCCAATGTTTTTAGAGTTAGTGGCCCAAATTCACAAAGGAGATTTGTAGACAAACCTAGGTTTATGTGCATCTTTTGACGCGTTTCAGACTAAGGATTGTCTGAACCTTGGTCTGAAACCCATCTAAACACGTCATATGGCGCACATAAACCTAGGTTTATCAACAAACCTCCTTTGCGAATTCGGGTCAACAAATTTGTTACAAGGTATAACATGTCTTTATACCATTCATTATGTTACACGATTCATTTTTTTTTATATACCGATAGAAATATTCCCTACCTGCTGCAAGCCCAACAATGAAGGAAACAGAACTGTTATTTGTTGTGATAGTAGTAGAAGTATTGAACAAATTATGTCTTTGATTTAAAAACATGCAGTCATGCAAGAAACATAATTCAATTACCAAAAATAATGTTCATATACCATGCTAATTGCCATTCACATGCTTTTATTAATTCATAGCAAACAATTAAACAATAATTTAATGCGAAAATTGACATGTTTCACATGTTTCTCTAAAAGAGTCCTTGCATTGTTGATATACAGGCCTACAACATAAATAAAGCACATTGTTCATCATACAAGGACTAAAATAAAACACAAAGCAATTAGGGGTACATTGAATTATTGCATGCAAAATAAAATAGTTGACAATGAAGTACATCTACTACATGCTGTAGGTCATCATTAAGTTTCATTAAATATGCCGAATCAGCAAATGAAAAATTAGTTTCTGTACCTCAAACCTACGTACATGTAGTGCAGTGTACATGTATGCATCAATTATATCGATAAAATAACAAGCATACATAAAATTACTGTAAGCAAATGCACACCCTGACCAATATATCGGTAAAAAGTTTGAAGAATCCTACTATCAAAGAAAAGTCATTTTTCATACAAAGATACGAGTACAACAGGCTTACTTACTTTGCTCATAAATACTGATAATTAGATATATGTAGTACAGGTCCAAAGTCCAGTGGATACTTATGTGTGGAATACCAAACTTTGATAAATACGAAATTCCATTAAAAAGAAAAGGCTTATAGCATCATTTATGAAGCTTGTATTGACAAAGTGAAATGTTAAAGATTTTATACAAAGAATTTTTGCCTAAAGCAATAACTATTTTATTAATGGTACAGGTAATCTCAAGTTCATGCATGTGAGAAACTAAATGTTCATAGAAGCAAAAAGAATTTTCACTGAAACTTAAAGACAATTTAGTGTATAATGAGTGAATGAATTTTCACAAGGAAATTGAGCTTTTGCCGAATAGGTACAATGACCAGCTTGATCCCATTTTCTCGTAACTTTGTTGACATTTTACTAACCTAAATATTCCCATCTAATGCTTGATATTAAAAAAATTCAAATTCATCTTAGATTAGAGTAGCTTATTTTTCATTAGAGTACTGGGTTGTTTCATAAAGACTAAGATCGACTTTAAGTTGGACTTAATAACTACGGCAGGCTGTTCATGCCACTATTTGCTCTCGCAAGTTACTGGCATTGTGATCATAATTCGTGGTCACAAATCTTTTTGATAGTTCATTATTGAAAAAAATATTATCTAAAGATCATAATTGAGAGACCAATTGTAAGAGCAACCAGTGGCATGAATGGCCTTCCATAGTCGAGTCCAACTTAAAGTTGATCTTAGTCTTTGAGAAACACTCCTGCAGATTAGCTTTAAATCTGTGACAAAGCATGCAAGAAATAAGGGAGTTGCACTCCATGCAAGCTTCATCTAGTAAATATAATTTATAAAGCAATGGGAACGATCCACATTGGATCTAAGGGTTTCAAAACTACAACACTGATGGAGCATTTGCACTGTCATGCAATACATGTACATCACAAGGATGACTAGTACATTAAAAACCCTTAATTGCAATATAATTATGTATGTGATGTATCATTTCATTAATTTTTAGGCCTTGTTCAGATATGACATGAGAAAACTGCTGCGTTTTTTAAAACGATGACGTATAGTGTAATACACCTCACATTTCTGTATCTTAGAACACAGAGCTCAGTGAATACGCGCATGACCTTTGTTGCACGTGGATGCCATTTATTTGCATGTTAAACTACCCACAGCAGTTTTTTTGCGGCGGTTTACAGTATCATATCTGAACAAGCCTTTAGTCTTTCGTGAAAAACTATCACCTGCTGATGATCATAGAAGTATTTAAAGTATGAAGTAGGATTATAGAATGTAAAATTAAAACATTTAGGTACCGGTAGATATATTTATGAGAGGGAATGGGATGTTTCTTATATATAATTCTTTTTAAATTGCTCTGTGGACATTACATTTAATGTTCGATTACCATGTTCTTTTCAATATTTATTAGTTATTATTGTACGATAAAATTATGAATAAATTGCGAATGAAAGCATTTCATCATAAAATCTCTACTTGTAAAAGAGATACATGTTGTTTTGTTGTTAATTTTAGCATATTTTTAAAATGTAAATCTAAATAAATATATACATCAGACATTCCCCCACATTACGCAACATAAATATTCCTACGTATGTTGTACAAATCGTAAGCTTTCGACGAACACCTGTACAAGATAATGCCATCATGTTACAGTTAAAGTGCACAAATTGGCAATGTTGGGTTAAAATAATTTGACCATCATGCACAAGCAATGGTAAATTCACAGGCTTTCTGGTATGTACAGTTGAGAAACAAAATGAAACTTTCATAAATGAATCAGCACACATTCCTGGCTACAACAAAGAAAAATTGCTATAGAAATCTCTATTAATTATGCAAGTACCCAAAGGGACCTTTTGATGCACTTTTCTTTTATGCCCCCACTTGCCATATAAGCAATAAAACTGTTTTTGAAAGCAGTTTACCATGTCATGTAAAAATGAGCCGATCGATTCCATGGCCTGTCTGAATTTATCATTCTTATTGCAGGTCAAATGCACCATCATTTATCACGAGTATATGAACATTTCAATACATGAAACAAAATCATAACAGAGTCGTACATATGTATTTTCTTTACTTTATTACAGATTTCATCGACGCCATAAAGGTGTATAAGGATTTTACAAAGACTTAAAAACCAACGCCAATTTGATTGAAGAATTGAAGCGAGATAAATCATCACTTCCCAGGGCAATACAGGTACATGTAATATTCCCAATTAACTAGATGTATGATAACAGAAAAACAAGCAATTGACATATTTTAAGTGTTGGGGGTGGGGGGGGGGGGGGGGTGGTATTGTAAAGAGAGTCAGAGTAGAAAATTGCACTGTGTAATATGACAAATCACTGGTATTCAGGTTAGTGTATTCTGTAGTACAATGCCCTCGCAGAACAGGTCCCCGTTTCATAAAACTTGATATCAATAACAAGTTACAATAACTATTATAAGCTACTGAAATCGTGGCATCCGATTGGCTGAGAGCAAATCTACCATAGAAATTTAGCATTTGTTATTGATAAAGAGTTTTATGAAACAGGGCCAAGATCCAGCAAGTAAGTTAGACAATATCTGGACATTGTGCAAGTTTCATCTACATTTAAACAGGTCTGGCTGAAATGTAATATCCTAGGATAGAGTATTCCTAACAGGCTACGGAATGCAAGTTGAGATAGAGAACAATTACACAAACCTATTATGTAACGACTATACTGATGCTATGAATGTCGTTGGACTAGAGGCATGTCTATTTTTATTACTTGTAAAACAGAAATTGCTGTATTGTACATGTTCAAAAGTAGCAAACTTACAAAGATATTGAATAAAAACAAAAAATATTAAAATGCTGAACAATACGACTGCAGGTCCTGCAATTTTTACTAGCAGCTGGAAAAAACAATAAAGCATCAGAACATGTCAACTAAAAATTGAACCTCATTCTTGTTCAAAAAACATATTGGCAAGAATCAATATATTAGCAGCAACACACATTTTTCGTTTTTCTTTGAAAAGGTGGCAACCTTACTTCAACTGATGACAAAACAAATCAATATTCAAATCTCAAGACTAGACTTATAGCAAGAAGCAAAACATTTTGATAAAAGCTACCATGACAAAAGCTATTAATTTCATGACTTTTTATGTCACTATCCAAGTACCTTGTTGATTTCAGTACATGCCGATAAACAGGTCATTTTTAATCATTAACAGACCATTATCATTCCTGGCATCAAAAATCATCTTCTTTTATGTCTCAATAAGCCATTCTAACCCTCAACTGAAGGAATGAAATATTGATTGCTGTATACTGTACAAAACATGCTGATGATGTGTAAAAACAATCTAAAAATTTACGATACAAAGATAACGACACATAATATTGGGAAAAAATACAATTTTCATTTACATGTAAATTTGTATATATATATATCACCCAGACAATTATTGTTGCATACAAAATGAAGCCCAAATACACTAGATGATTGTAATAAAAATATTCACATGGCTTATCTGAATGAATCTCTTGTGTCTGTTCCTATTGTACTTTCTGTGACATCATAGACGTTTGGATAATTGAAACGCCTTCTAAGAGCACAACTTTCAGGAGTTAGGCTTAAATTTGGGGGAAATGACCGCAGATTCATGAGACTGAACCACTTGCATTGATGGGTAGCTGCACGACAGAGATGGCTTGCTACACCTGAGGGGTGTTTCACAAAAATCCTAAGTCGAAATTAACTCTAAGTTGGACTTAACAGTTATGGAAAGCCATTTGTAGCCTTAAAATAAAATATATTCACAAGTGAAAATTCAAATATTTGAGACTTTTTATAAATTCCACATCAATAACATGAAATCTCCTTGATAATAGAAAGTATGAATGATTTGAATCGACATTTTATGTCTTTCAAATAACTTTTACAAAATATTTTCATAGATGCAAACGGCTTTCCATAATTGTGAAGTCCAACTTAGAGATAGATTCAAGTTAGGATCTTTGTGAAACACTGCCCTGGTTCACAGCCTAATGCAATAGTGGTCTGATGGTTAGTTTTCTACCTGACTGCTAAGAAAGCATGTGTATGCTTGTATTAAGTAAGCAACCAGGGGACCAAAGGTTTTAAGTCCTCTCAGAGGGACTTGGTAATGAGGATTAATCATGCCTTTCCAAAGGGCACTGACCTGGTTTTGAACCCAGGACCTCCCGACTAAGAGACCACTGCTCTACCACTGAGCCACCATGCCTCCTGTATCGTATCTCCATACAGTGGATGTCAGGTCATGAGCTTTTGAATGATTTGCCGGATGCCTGCAAGTAGGCCTTCACTGCCATTGATGATACCACCGTCTAGTAGATATATTATCCATATCAAAAGAAATCAATACAAAAACACACATTGCTATAAAGATCCCACTTTTGATACTTTACTTGGTCCAATTGTGCTCCTAGAAAGTCATTCCACTGCCCAATCAAATTTTTCTCCATCACAGAAAGTTACCGGTATGTTAGGGTTATATTCCCCTTCATTAATGTGCTTAGGGCATAAATCATTTAAATATATGTATGGTATGTATACATAGAATGTTACTGTAGATATCAATTGCATTTTTGGATTGTGACAAATCAGTAACAGTTATGATAATCAAACAAATATAAGAAACAAAATAACTTATGAAACTAGATTCTAAGGTATCATTTATCATATGAAACTTTGATACAAATATATATATATACATGTACATATCTATTCATACTACAGCTAGCTGGCTAGAAGTGGAGTAGACAAAAATACATTAACACTTTTATTTGAGCACCAGTTAAAATATGGCTTGGCCTTTAATACATAATTTTACTTAACCAATATATTAAGCATTCCTCACTCCTCCCATGGCATTGCATTGAAACAATGTTTCAAAGAGAGAGGGGGGGGGGGGGATTAGGGAGTGATAGAGAGAGAGAGAGAGAGAGAGAGAGAGAGAGAGGAGAGGAAAAAATGTAGAATGAGAAGTGTGGGCTAATTTGAATCTCTCCTAAAATCATATCTAAAATCTAAGGAGAGTAATGAACATGTCATTTTTCTTTAAAAGGGAAGAAAAAAACAAAAACGATTCTAGTGTAAAAGAGGGCAGACACAATAATTTAATTGTTTCGCCACATACATTTTAGCAAAAGGGGTTCAATTTCAAAGGCTTTAATCTGACATGCCTGGGCCTTGTGTGCATACAGTAGCTCAAACAGAGAGTACTATTCGAAACAAAATTAATTCAGTTCTCTTCCCCCCCCCCCCTCCCTCCCCTCTCTCTCTCTCTCTCTTCATTAAACAATGTTATCAGGTATTCCTTTCCTTTATGTCCTTTTGCTGTGAAACAATGAATGTCAAATGGCAATACCAGTAATATGACTGATATCCCATCTTAATGACCTGTTGGCTTCTGTAATTCCTAGTATGCATTCCTAGGGTTCCACTATACCTTGAGAGCGACTACAAACAGACTTAAAACATAATAATCAACAGCAAACTTATTCTCTAAGCTAGAGACATCCAGCTTTTATCTTTGAAAAATACCTTTACACATGCTTAAATGTATCGTGGCTTATTTTCATGTTGTTCCTGAAAAATTACTGGCAAAAAAGGATTGATAGATTTCCAATGTTTAGAGATCTGTCTGAAAGCTGCGCCTCTGCCTTGAAGCTAAACTCATCTTCTCGGGAGATTTCTCATCCCCTGGTGATTCTCTTGCTCTCCTCGCCCCTTGCCGCTTCACTGGCCCTGAGATTGCAGGTGGTTTGAAGGGTGCAGCACCAAACGGATCCACATCCACGTCAAACCCTGCAGGGGGAGCAGCGGGCGAGTCAGGACTCGTGAAAGGCTGTGCGCCAAAGTCATCAACTGCTTTAGTCAGAGGCAGGACTAATTGTTTGTGGGATTGGGGTGGCGTGAGCTTGCGCCCAAAAGTGTCCTCGAAAGTGAGCTTGGTGTCAACCGGCTTGGGTTGCCCGTCGTCTGCGAGGGAGAATGGGCGTGAGCCAAACGCATCTAGGCTGTCCTGGGATCCTCGTAGCCTGGGCTGGCTGCCTGGGCTTGACTTGAGAGAGTTGGAGGCAGAGCTGGAGCTGCTGCGACGTGACGAACGGGAGCTGTTACTGCCACTGCGACGTCTTCTGCCTCCAGACGATGTTCGGCTGGAACGACGCACACCTACAGCTGTGCTCACCACATGAGGGCGCTTGTGAGAGGCAGGGCCTAAATTTGAATAAATTGAATAACATGATATAAAGTGAATCAAATTTGAATTCAATTTGAATAATATGACTTGAATTAGATTCAATGACTTGAATTAGATTCAATGAACTGAATTAAATGAAGAATATTGTCATAACGGAGATCTACAAGTCAAACAAATTTTGTGTGTCATAATTACAACATTTAGATTTACCATTACAAACAATAACTCAAAGACAATCAACTATCTTAAAAGCGCCTTTTGGGTAGACTACTTGAAGTACCTGTACATGCTCACATGGAATAAGGGCCCTCATGGAACCCAAGTCATTATTCATGCAGTTTCATATCATTTTGTATTTTCTTCATATTCCTTAACCGCTGTCCTTTACTAGTATGTTCGGTAGATTTTTCGTTGTTGATTTTACACAATCTAGCTGAACAAAAACTATTTTGTGAGGTGATAGGTATATTTTAACTTTGATGAAGAATGTTTTACCTGGTTGTTGGGCATCCTCTTTACTGCTCATCTCCAGATCAGAGCCATGAGACGCAACAGCATGGAACGGGACAGCACCAAACATGTCCGGCTCCTGCTTGGACATCTTAGATGACACTCCCTGAGCTCCTAACTCTGTTGGTGAGATGGGCGGTGTAGGGTTCCCGAGTGCCGTCTGCTCCCCAGAGACATGCTGCGTCTTGGCACGCCTCACCTCCGATCCGGTGCCCTGTCGCTTCTTGGATGACACCAAGAAAGGTGCCTTTGAGAAGACATCTGAACCGGTCGAGCCAACGGATGACTTGCTGGTCTCACGTTCAAATCCACTGCGAGGATTGAAAGGGGCTTCCCCGAATGGGTCCTCCTCCTGCATCGGAGGCGAGATGGGAGGGGTGAGGGCGCACATTCCCACTGGCTCGGTTGCTCGCTTGAGGCTACCCGTCTTGGCTTTGAAAGGAGCTTGGCTAAAGGGGTCGTCATCAGTCATGTCGATGAGCTGCGCAACGGGTGGCTCAGATTTTCGAACTTTCTGAGATGGCAGGTCCTCATGCAGATTGAGACTGGCCAACTCTGCGTCCGATAGACCATGGCCATCATCGCCTATCAAGGGTTGAGCGCCAACTTCATCAAAGTCATGGTGATCAGAATCATCATCGGATTCATCTTCTGACGACTCCTCTTGATCAAGCAACCCTCTATGAGCATGTTCTTCATCCTTCCTAATATCAATAGAATCACTATCAAAGGTATCATAGCTGAAATCACGCAAGCTACTCGACAACCGCTCCCCCTCGTGATCGCTACTTGACTCGCTTCCTCGATGCTGCCTGACACTTCCAAACGGCTTTGCTCCAAATTCATCCAGCTCTCGTATTGACCTTTCCAAATTGAAACCACCCGACGAAGATCCCGTACTGGTCAGTCTCTCAGACCTCCCTTCCTGCTTCCCCTCCCTCACAAAGTCATCTTCAAATCCCACCCTGATGCGAGGGGTGGATGCTGACTCTGGCTGGGGTTCCGTAGCCATAGCTCCTAGTAGGTCCGCTTCCTGGGGGCTCATGTGCCTTTGCTGCTGCTGTTGCGTCGTCTGCGAGGGCTGCGCAGCTTGACCGCCCCCGCTAAGACCAAAAGGCGTAGCACCAAACACATCCATGTGACCCCCTTTCCTCGCCTCTCCTTCTCCTCCTACAAGGGGTGGGGATGACTCCATGACGTGACCTTGAACCAGGGTCTGCTGACTTCCAGTTCCACTGGCTATCTGCTCCATCTCAGCTGCACCTCCAGATTGAGGGCGTCCTGTAAAGTCATGAGAGAACAATGCATGTAATAAACTACACCACTCTTCTCATTTCTAAAATCTGATTTTGTATTGGGATACTTTGCACCTTCTGGGCCACCTCATCCTTGTACAATTGTCATAAATGAAATTTAAAAAGTAAAGTTTTCACTTAAGATGCCTCGATTCATAAGAAAGTATAGCATGTCTTCAATGAATAACAACTTGTTACTAGAGGTAATTGCTTCTGTTTCCAAAATATGAATGTAGCCCTATTCAGTCTGAGCACATGGTTCAACACTCAATTCTTATGCAGGGGGAATCTTGGGAAAGCTTAAACTGACATCCTCTTTCCAATTACTAAGATTCACTACAGGCTACTTGAATGGGGCATTTAAATTCACATACTTTTAACAAAAAATCTCTTTTAGCAGTTATGACACACCTTAACATATTAATGGCATCATTTCAAGATATCAGTGCCCTTAATAAAGTTTTCCAATGAACCGATAAAAAAATATTTTATGGTCTACCTTCTCTGAGATTAAATGGGACGGCGCCAAAGACATCTGTAGTGTGGGGAGGATTCGAGATTCCCTGTATCTGAGGCTGTGCAACATTGGTTGCTGTTTCTGAAAAAGATATCACAAATAACAAAAGAAAATACTGATGAATTAAAATGTAAAATGGAGAGCCCCTTGCAGTTCATCATAATCATTACAATCATCATCAAAGTCATCATCATAATCATCATCATCATCAAAGTCATCATCATAATCATCATCATCATCAAAGTCATCATCATTACCATTATTGTAATCATCATCACCAAAAAACTTCTCATAACCATCACTTATAAGGACAATGATTATTTTCAGTCAAAAAATTGATGTTTTTATTGTTGGAAACATAAAATCAACAAAACAGAATGATACAATTATATATATACATGTACTACTAATGCATAGAGAGACTCCTTCTCTTTGGCCCAAATTCACAAAGGAGGTTTGTCCACAAACCTAGGTTTATGTGAGTCGTATGATGCGTTTTGACGCGTTTCAAACCAAGGTAACCTTAGTTTGTCGACAAACCTCCTTTGCGAATTCGGGCCTTTGAGTTAATGATGCATGTCATAAATTTACCTGGACTGACTTTTCGAAGTTGGTCAAATTCACTGTCCAAGTCTTCATCATCAGGGGGAGCTGGTAGCTGGGATGCTAGCATAGCAGACTGAGGACTGAACGGGTTAGTAGGACTCGCAAGGTCTTGAACAGGTGACACATGGTCTGCTGCATCAACTAGAGAGGGCAGCAGAGAGGAAAGAATCAAAGTCTGTTTTGGTGTTGTGGTTGATTTATGTGTGTGTGTGTAATTGAGTTTTTACAGATGTGTATCAATCAGATAAGATTATTTACATCTGGGAACCGACCTTAACGTCACCATCCGAAAGACATATTTATGCTTCACGAACGGTGTTAAGAATGATGTTGATGATCTATGGCTTAAAGGGGACTAGTAACTTAAAAAGTAAAATTTTGTGCACAGCTAGGATGTATGAAATCTCCCCCATCCCCAAATAAAAATGCACAATGAATGAATACCTTACTCACTGTACAAAAAGGTTACAGTTACCATGCTAGGAAATGTAACTAACCAAGAGTGGGCATTAGTACCACAGTGATACTGATGAGACTGACACGGATCAACATCAGACTGGACAAAACAGACTCTAACCCTTCTGACCGAGAATATGACCAACGAGAGTATTTATGCAATGGTTTTATGGTAATGAGAAAAGAAAAACATTACATTCTCAACAAAAATCTAGAGTAACAAGGGGAGACAGGGATAATCAAATAGGGAAAAGATGAAACTGAACTGTAAACTGAACTGATACCACATGCCCGACAATGTCTTTGGGGTTAGCACAAATGCTCTTTTGCATCTGAGTTTCCACTACACATACGCCCTTCTGCGTGCAGATCAAAGGGTTAGATTGGGATCGTGCAGGCAGGCAGATTTGAGAAGTGGATGATAATTACATGAGTTGCCCTCCATGACTGGCTGATTGATATCGTCCAGCCTACCTTCAACCAAGGTCCCTACTGCTCCTGCAGCCTGGGCCTGGGCCAGTGCCTGTGCTTGGGCCTGTAGGAACTGCTGCTGCTGCTGTGCTTGTTGTTGTTGCTGCTGTAAGGCTGCCTGTTGCTGTTGATACAAGGCCTGTTGCTCGGATGGTATGAACTGTGGTTGCTGGGAAAACGGAGGAGGCGAAGAGGCCTGGTACTGCTGTTGTTGTGCAGCGAGTTGTTGCTGTTGTTGGTATGCTAGTTGCTGCACCAAAAAAAGAAAATGTTACAAGATAGTTTTATTACTTTGAATTATGATATAGGAATATCAGCAAGTTTAGTATACAAATAATACACAGGTGTGAGTGCGTTACGGTCGATGCAGCGCATGAGGGTATTCACTATGGTGCAATAAAATTCACGGTAGCCGAGTTTATTTTGTGCCATTGTGAATACCCGAAAAGCGCTGCATCACCATAAAGTCACGAACGAAAACCTGTGTATTATTTGTTTTATAAATGGGTCCACAATCTTACATGTACCAAGGCCATAAGATGTCTCCCCTCAACCATCATTCATAGTTGTTATCACCAAAATGCACCCATTTTTTGGAGCCTACTGAACTATGATGCCGCAATAAAACTTTGAACAACAAATGGATTCTCAATACCAACCTGTTGTTGTAGCACAGCTTGTTGCTCTAAAGCAGCCTGTTGGCTAAGATATGCTGCTTGTTGCTGCTGCTGCTGCTGTTGTTGTTGCTGTAATAAGGCTTGTTGCTGCTGTTGATAAGCAGCTTGTTGCTGTTGTTGTAATGCTGCTTGCTGCTGCTGTTGAAGTGCTGCCTGTTGTTGCTGCTGCTGCAATGCAGCCTGTTGCTGTGCATACTGCGCCTGAATGCTTGCTTGTTGTTGCTCATAGGTAAGTTGTTGGGGTCTGGTGAAAGCACCATGTTGCCCAAACGCGGGCTGTTGCGGGGTTGGTTGTGGCTGCTGGTACGGCTGCTGGAAACCTTGCTGACCGGCGTAAGCAACTTGTTGCGGTTGCTGTGGTCCATAAGCAGCCTGGGCTTGAGCATTGTTGTATGCCAGTTGTTGTTGTTGCTGCTGCTGCTGTTGCTGCTGTTGTTGTTGTTGGGCAAGAGCGAGAAGTCTTTGCTTATTTTGTTGCTGGGCAAGTTGTTGTTCTTGTAGCAGTTGTTGCTGCTGCTGCTGCTGCTGCTGCTGCTGCTGTTGTTGTTGTTGAATTGCTTGTTGTGCTTGAACTTGTGGGGGACTTAATCCTACAAATTAAAGAACATTTACAAAATTAGGAAATAAGTAGCCTCGTGTTTATAATACAGGATATGACATCCATGCATTCCGAACAAAACACATCCTACATAAACACTAGCAGCAACTATAAACAGGTTGATGTGGACTTGTTAACAATGCTATTGCTCAGTTGTACAACATTGATGGCAACTGAAAGTGACAGTTCAAGTTGAGGCAACTCTGCCCTGGTATTTCATACTAGTTGTTTAATTTATTCATATAAGCGCCCTCCACTTAAGTAATTTAGAACAAATACAAATTTAAGTAGACTTAAAAAGATACTTAAACATTTATTAGTGTCTGTTCAAAATGAAACTCTGCTTACAATTATTCAAATTCTTAGCTACTATCTGCTCAGAGACAGGAGGATAATAAAAATAGTGCTTCTCTGGCTCTCAGCGGAAGACATCGTCTCTCTGACTTACTTTGCGCTGCGGCTGCTACTGTTGGACCTGTGGTGGGAGGTTGTCCTTGCTTTGATGAGCGTTGCCTGGTGATGGAGGATGGGGTAGGGAGTGAGATTCCCCCTGCAGCAGGAGCCACACCCTGTTGGGATGCCTTGGGCCTCTGCCTGGGTGTGACAGAGGTACTGACTTCCATCGGGCCAGCAGGGGTTCTGGAAAAAGACAAGACATGTTGATGAGTGAGAAAGGGAGGGTGAAGGGTGGGAGGGAGATACCCCTGCCTGAATGAGTGTGTGTGTGGGGGGGGGGGGGGCAAGGGTGTGACACAGGCTCTCATTTTCATGCAGCTACCATGAATTCCTCAGGCAATGAGACATGTTATTTCTCATTTTTTTTGTCTTTTCAACAAGGATCCTCGGCTCAGTGAGTGTCAAGAAGCCAATGCTATATTGGCAAATCTGGGCATTCCATGAGGAACAGTGAATATCACACTTTGTAGCATAACAACCACAGAGTTAAATTTGCGAATAAAAGTGAATTTTTGAGGTAGGGAGCTACAAATATCAGTGAACCTGGTCACATGGCCCCTGAAGGAAGTCACCTGATAGGGTGTGGGTGGGGGGGGGGGGGGGGGGGAGGAGATGAAAGACCTGTCATCTGATACATACCAGGGGGTGTTTCACAAAGATTTTAAGTCCAACTTAACTCTAAGTTGGACTTGACAATCATGGAAAGCTGTTAGCATCTTTGAAAATATTTTTTAAAAGTTATTCTAAAAAGCATAAAATATTGATTCAAATCATTTATATTTTCTATTATCAAGGAGATTGTATGTTCTTGATGAGGAATTTATAAAAAGTCTAAAATACTTAATTTTTCGCTTTTGAATATATTTGATTTTAAGGCTACAAATGGCTCTCCATAACTTTTAAGTCCAACTTAGTGTTAACCCTTACTGTACTGGGCTATTTCGAGCACTCTCTGACTGGGGGGGGGGGGGGGGGGGGGGGCCTGGGAGGCCCCCCCCCCCCTATGATCTCGGCCGTCGAATGTCCGATGAACGCGAAAATTTGCATGTTTGTAGATATTAACGTAAGGAGCAAGATGGTATAATTAGTTTTTTCCTAATATGCAAATTTTTGTCGTTATAGCATAATTATTATGCAAAATGCTAATTTTATACATTTTACAGAAAACTCTACATATTTGGCCGTAGACTTGTGAAGAATCTTGAAAATGTATTGAATAAATGTTTCCTTCATCTCAAATTCATGAGGTTTCATTATTTTTATGATATTTGAAAATGCATAGGTTAATTTGCATAAATTATGAGTACGCATTCATGAATATCAAATCTGGAAATATATAAAGGGAACTAGAATCATAACAAAAATTGTCAGACTCCACTTTTGTAATGTTGAAACTCATTATTCATATGAAACTTCTTCAAAATAGTTTTTTGATGTAATTAATAATGATAATTTATGCAAATTTGATGCGATTTTCAACTTTTTATTTTCTTATGTATTTTATTGTTTTTTATTTCTTATTATATCTATTGTTTTATTTCTAATGTATTCTTTTGTTCTGAAATACATCAAGTAACTTTGAGAAGCATATAAAAGCAATTTGATATCAATTCATATCTTCACATTTCTGCTTGTACATGAATATATGCAATCATGGCACTTTTTTGATGACATGCGCATACTAATTGTTATGTAACACCTTACAGGTATATCCGATTTCGGCGAAAATGGTATCAAAATGTGCGTAAGACTTAAGGAAAAAAAGTCATGAAAAAGACAATTCAAAATTCTGAGCGGTTGCGGCGCGATCTCCGAAAATGTTGAGGGGGGGGGGGCCTGGGAGGCCCCCCCCCCCAGTACAGTAAGGGTTAAGTTAGATTTAGGATCTTTGAGAAACATCCCCAGGAAACATGGGAAAGGAGATGCAAAATGCATTACATGTGTGACAGAGCATAGCATATTAAGAAAGGTAGTTGTGACACAGGCATGTGTGCGTATGCGAGCTCGGTCATAGGTTACATCATGGAGCTCCAAAAAGGACCCTCCCACGCACAATCTCTATGGGAGAGACTACTCTTTCAACCTTATTCAAGTTATTAAAGAGATGATTGGTATTACAAAAGTGGAGAATAGCAATGAAACAGAGAGACCAACTGAAGCTTTTTTCTAGCACTCATCAGAGTAAACCTCAAAGATAAACGAAAACTTACATTGGACAATTTAATCTGTAACTAAGGGAACACAGTGACCTGTTCCTTTAGTAATCAGATTTACTGTATTTACAGAAATACAACTGGACTTGATAACTTCCATCAGATCATTTATTCATCTGCAAGGTGGGTTTTGAGTTTAAAAACATATTGATCATGCACAAAAATACAGATACAGTTGGCATAAAAATCAACCTTTGACTCTTTCATACCTATTTTGGTTGTTGGTTTTGCTTCTGGAATGTTGCTGTCTTTGCTCACTCTCCGTCAGGGGGAGGGGCAGCTTGTTGCCATCAGGAACGGGTGATTTCTAAAAATAACAAGACAATAGTAAGTCATTACCGGTACTTAGAAGAAAACATAACACCACGCCTTGATCATTTGATTGTCAAGTGGATTTGGCGCCCTACAAATCTTATGTACATGTTTCATTATTATTACTATCCTCTCAATGCGTGTGTGAAACAAATATGAATCTTCGGAGTAAGTTTGATTAAATAGTATCTTTCAAATAATGTCTTAGAAAACTGATTCTTACATTAAGTTTTCAAAACAAATTATCAATTATCTTTGGTACAAAAAGTGGTTGTTTTGGGGAAAGGCATGATGCTAAATAGCGTAGTTGCATTCTGAATCAATTACTGATACATTTAACTTTTAATGGCATATATTTGCCAAAAAGTGAAAACCAAACTACCATTTCAAAACCACATTTTTAATAGTTAAAATGTCATAAATCTACTCAAAATCTTTTTCACATCCTTCAATTTTACCATGAACAAAAATCAATGTGATAGGAGTTTCAAATCATGAATAATCAATGATCAAAAGACTAAAATATCTCAGCTGATTTTAAAAATATTTTTAAAACCCTATTTTAGATATGAAGGGGTAAAGCTCAGTGTGTTTTTTTTTATAGATAATGAATTAAGAGTAATACACTTCACATACTGATCTCTATTTTATTACACAGGGCTAGGCGAGACATAAGACTTTTGTTGCGTACAGTTGCCATATGATTCATTGAAGCAATAAAAATTAGCTTTTTGGGGGGTGACCTCGTACCCCACCATATTTGAACGAGCCCTTACTGAGATATTGATTGTTGACAATTTGAGAGGTCTTACATGTAGATTCTGGATAGGGGTTTCCGAGCTAGCTGCCTTGAACGCTACATGGGAAACCTGGAATATATCCGGTCTCTTCTCTGCATCCACCTCCAACATGTATCCTGAAACCAAAACAAAACAATGTTTGTAAGTACTATTCAAGACTCTGATGCATCAATTCTTTTGAAAAGTAGGATAAACAATCCTTTACGGTTAAATCACCGAAGAGGTTCATCTGATTGGTGAATAATTTGGATAATTTGTTACAATGAGTAGAAAAAAACACCTATTTTGGTAAGCTGTCACTCGCAGTGCTGCAATTTTCTTCAGACCTATGTTGTAGACGGCTTTGTTGCTGAAACAGTTCAGCGATGTGGTAGAATGGTATTATCTAATGAAGAAAGTGTACTGGCCTATCAAAGTCTCTGTTCATGGATGTGTCCCTTTCAGTGCATATAATATATGTAAGGGAAGCCATTCATTTTCATACTGCTTGAAAAGAAAGAACTAATTTTCAAAATAATCCAGAATTTTAACTGAAAATAGGTAAGATGCTCACTTATAAGGGCATGCATCTCTCGGGAGTACTTAGTATTGTCCGGTATCGTGAAGTTTCCACTCTGTATTGCTAGACTACTCTCTCCAAAAGGAAGAGTAAAGAAACACAGCTTGTACAGCATACACCCTAATGCCTGCAAGACAGAAAATGAAATCAAAGCGATGGAAATGATATTTTTATAATTATATATATGTGAATAAGAACCAATTTTACTTTGAACATCACATTTTAATCACTTCATAAAGCATACATTCACAATAAGCTGTGCTCGCTCATATAGTTTTCATCTGAGACAACAACATGCATTTTAGAAGTAGACCCTGGCTCTCTAACTTACAATTCACTATACAATCTTTTGTTATACAACATTTGTTATATGAGAAAAGAAATAGTTACATTTACATGTAGTTATCATGGAACTATACGTTTTTTTATAGCTATACAATTCCTTTTGCTACATTAAATTGTATATTTGCAAATCAAACAAGCTACCTGACACTTATTTAAAGACTTGATCTTTTACATAAAACTTCTTGTAATCAACTTTTAAACTAGGTTTACTGCTTACTTACCCATATATCTGCTTTGGTTGTGATAGTTTTCTCTGAATACAAATCAATCATTTCTGGAGAGCGATAGGACACTGTGGTGTACCTGTGTTAAAACAAATGATAAAAGAAAACAAACAAAGATGTTAAAAATCTATATTTTAACCAGTAGAGTGGAATACATTTAAATGTCCAAACCTGGCGGATTATCTGATGCTATGATGTTATGAATGCACATAGACTGAATATAGGGGTAGAATCCCCCCTAGACATTGCAGCAAAACCTCCTGTGCCTTTTTAAGTTTATATGATTAAGCACGAACACACTTTTACACACAACCATGTACGGTTATATTAGCATGGCATTCAGATAGTTTTTGCAAGAAGCATATGGTATTTCTGGCCTTTTTTGCAAAACAACACTAGAAAAATACTGGTAGCTCTAGATCTGAAGTGTAAGACATTTACAGGTACATTGTTGAATGGGAAATCATAAGCCCTGTTCAGATACAAAACTCAATAGCGCAACCTTGGTAATAGGAGTCAACACAAGTTGAAAATGGGCCAAACAAGCTAAGGATTTCCTTCTCCACCTCATTCTTCCATTCTAAAGAAGCATTAGGCCTGTCGTCATCAGCTCGAGATTGCCAAATATCCCGCTATATTAACTATCCCAATCGCAAATTATCCAGTTAATTTGCGTCTTCATCAGCCCAAAGTTGCAATTAGCAAGATATTTGGTCAAGATAATCATCCCAAGATATCTTGAGCTAGTTTGCAAAATGTCCCACTATTTGCCTGGTGCGTCCTCACCAGCCCGAAGACTTGCACTATAAATATCTCAAACTAATTTCCCGAGCCCGAGTTTCAAGTTTCGAGGTCAAGTCTCGTGTTGATGAAGTCTTGAGTTGATGAAGACACGATTTGTAACTTCAGGATTATTTCCCAAATCAGAAATTGCAGGCTATTTGGCAATCTCGAGCTGATGAAAACAGGCCTATTGTCCAGATCAAATCTCAGATTTTGGAACTGATCCTCTGTCATTCTCGCTTCCAAGTTTTCACACCAGTCAAGGTAACAAACACACCTACATGCTTTGTTTGTTTGTTGTTGTTGTTGTTGTTGTTGTTGTTGTTTTTTTTGGGGGGGGGGTCCCTCAAACATTTTCTCCACATATCTCCTCCACACATATCGCATAATCTTTTATAATTTTAAGCAAAAGATATTATTTTCTAAGGAGTTGGGCTTGAAAAATTAATATGACGAAAATGCAATACACAAGGGTACAAATACTCATGTGAAAAGATCTAGAAATGCTGTGATGATAATGGCCACAGAGTTAATATTAAAGGCATTGTTTAACCATGTTTCCAGTTTTACAAATCTGAGATGCATGGCCCTACATGTACGTGTTACCAGTGTCTGTGATATGGTGTAACATTGAAGCCCTAAAAAAATTGTGTTTCAAAATGATCATGATGTGCCTCAAAAAAGTAAAAATTCTTTGAGTGACCTGTTTTACTATACCTCATTTTTCCTAATAGACTATAGAGTTATAAAAAACCGTTGGAAAAACGTTTTTTGACATTTCAAATTCCAATCATAAATATCTTGATAATCAGACAGGCAATCGGCATGTAAAAGTCATGGGATTCATGACTGACCTAAAGGTTTATAATTATGATTGCAGCATGAGCTAAATCCAGGATTTTGTTTAGAATCTGAGGCAAAGTTACCCTATTCCTTTAAATGCTGAAAATATAGTCGGTCTGTATGTGAAATTAATAAATAACGGACCACTTCACAAAAGTATGGTTTAAAATCAGGATGCTTTTCATTTTCCAGTATCATGAGTTATGAGGTCTTGAATTTCAATTGATTGAAAGTGAAGGCTGCAGGCACTGGTTGATGCTATTTTGGGCAAGTTCCTCACAAACTTTCACACATCATTATAGAGAAACCAACAATGTGAAGAAGCTATGTATAAAACATATATGTTGACTGGTAGACTGCAATGAGTGCGATCCTTGCATGTTTAATAGCAGAGATGGAGCAATTTATGGGGAAGTTTGTACTCTGGGTTTGATTGCAATAAAGTCCTCAGTCTGGAACAATGATATAGAGTCTAATAACCCCTGTCATTAATCCTACAATATATCTGAAGAACTTCCTGAACTGTATAACATGTGGTTATGTCTAGACACGGTCAAAGATTGCAACAGGACAATGTGCTGTAACCATTCCTGTATTTTTACCACAACAAAAGCTGGTTAAGTCGGAGAAACCGGTTCTATTGAAGTTAGGCAGCACTTGCTCTATAGGGAATAACAGGAAAGGGTCCCAAGGACCTGACCATCTCATTGTTTGTAGCCAGATTGAACAGTTAGTATTATTATTAAATTATTTGTACATATCTACACATTTTCATGATTTACAGGGGGTTTAAAGACACTTTTTTTAGCAACTACTTTATCTTCTATCAGTCCCACGTGCTAGTAATGATGTTTGTTAACCAAAAACCATCTGGCTGTTTACATACAATTAAACAGAAATAGAATAAAAATGTCGCACCCCTCCTTAATTGGAGCCATATTGATGAATTTGTTGAATTCAAACTTACTTCTCAATCTCATCCTTGATGTCGTTTATGCTGTGTACCTTAGGGTCTAGAACACGTCCGGTAGCACTGCCAAAGTCACACAGCATGTAGTTGCCACTCCGGTGCAGCAAGATGTTTTCAACCTGGGTCAAATGAATGAAAAAGACACAAAATTTAGTGAAAAGACTGATGAATTGAAGGGGAGAAATTGGGGGTAGAGGGCTGCCACCCAAGGACTTTAGAGTGTATAGGATAGAATGAAGGATATAGATGGTAACACTCTCAAAAGTCACACAACATAAAGTTGCCACTACGGTGCAAATTATTGCAAAAGAAACAATTTTTATTAAAAAGCTGATGAATTGGAGGGGAGAAATATGGGGTGTGGGGTAGAGGGGGTTGGTACTTTTGGAATTTAGAAAGGATAGGATAGAAAGAAGGTCATAGATAGTAACACTGCAGAAAGTCATACAGGATATGGGTGCCAGGACGGTGGAGCAGGATGTTTTTTAACTTGGGTGGAATTTACATCAACAGTAGTTCAAGTTCAAGTTTTACTTATCTTTCTTTCATAAAACACATTACAAATATGAGGTGACCTTGGTTGAAAGCAAGGCCTGTGGATTTAAGGTCCCTCATGAGTAGCTTATGAGTATGTCCTAAATGAACAAACTCGTCAGATAAGAATAATGCATACATTTAAATGCTTACAAACTAAACTTACTAAACAACTGATAAAATATAAACAGAAATAAGTATAATACAAATCTACTGACTACTAAATAATGGCTATAAACAAGAGGAACAGGAATATACTACGAGCAACAGGACTGAAACACAGACAAAAACTAAAGTAGACAGACAGATGAATAGATGTGAGAAATGGGAGTAGAATTATACTGACCTATATAGCAAATAACTTTCATATGTATATTGATCACAACTATAACATGCCAGTATTCAATGCTATCTAAACCTCTGACAAACTGGAAGGGAGAAAATGGGAGACTGGAACCCAGAGGCATTTGATAGATGGGAAGGCAAGATTTCTACAGTACAATGCCTAGTCACGGAGACACACAACATAAATCCGTAGTTGACTCTTAAGAGCGACAAATGTTTTCAACAAGGGCAGAATATATATTATGTAAATTATTTAATTGTCATAAAATATCTTTCAGAAACTAAAATCTGTCAAACTACATCAAAGGAGAGAAATGGGGGTGGGGGGGGGGGGGGGGGGGGAGGGGAGGATTGAAACCAAACCCCTTATCATACAAGAGCTTTTGTTGGAATACCGTACATGTAGGGCCTTAAAGCTGGAAACATGTATAATAGGAGCACTTCTAAAGTCATCAACTACATACATGTAGACTGATAATCAAATCTGTTACATCCTACAGAGTAACAGAGGAAATGTCAAATCAATACTTATTTTTGTTTCCCCAGAAACATCAAAATGCATTTCTAAATGAATAGTCCACCTCATATACTACATATACATGGAGCCCCATTATGATCGCACTCTGAAAGTCAGATATCATGAGATAAGGAATTTTTCTTTCATTTTCTATCCCGATACTTGAGGGAAATGGATTCTCCTATACTACAACACACAGGCCTAAACTGCATGTACCATGTGTTCCACAAAGTTGTAGTCGATCTTGAGCTAGTCCATTATGCAAATTTTTCTCATAAAACCAAGTTTGCTACATGCAAACAGTCAACTTAAGGGTTCTATTTCCTTCTTCCAGTGTAGTGCTAGTAAGATTCTTTATCTTTTCCCCACAGAGAGATTAAAATAGCTCATTAGGCAAGAGACTTGCAGACCTGTGTGTGTGTACTGCACCTGCATAACTGTATATTATAAGTACATGATTTTGTACAATAAAAAAAATAGTAATTTCCTTTTATATGTAGTTTGATGAGCTTGACTTGACTTTCAATGAAACCAATAATTTAATTATCTGCAAATACCAAACTGCTTTGTCTAAGGGCAGCAAAAACAATACACACAAAAAAGTTTTGTGTAATTTAGATCTGGAAAGCTTAACTCTGGTACAGTAAAACTATTTATTATTTAAAGGAACTTTAACAGAAAAGACCTAAAAATACATCAAAATTTACTACAGCAACTCCCAAAAGAGCTCATGTGGAAAGAAGAGTGATTTTTGTCCACACTGTAGAGTTTACAATGTAAATCTCACAAGTTGAATTATATCATGATTAATATTATGACTTGTGATACCTATACCAACAACAATTAGTGTCCAGAATGATGCTGAAAGCTCAACTAATAAGCGATTATAAGTACTTGAGAGGTCTCCAAACTGTACATGTAAGAGGAGCAGACCTGGGAAGATTTCCTTTCAGTCAAGTTAAGGGTACTAATCAAGAAGAGATATATTTAACACAAATTGTTACAATAAGCAGCAAATACAAAAAAGTGATATCAAGAGAGAGGGAGAGAGAAAGAAAGAGGGAGACAGAGAACCAGGGTAGGGAGAGAGGGAGAGAGGGAGAGAGAGAGAGAGAGAGAGAGAAATCTTAGCAAATACTGAATGGTAACAAACATATACCTACTTAATATTATTTTTCCTTAAAACCTTCAATATACCATTCTCCTGAATAACATGATTCTTGGCCTTGAGCCTTCTCACGGGGGCTCTTTTAGTGCTGACAGGGGCTCTTATTTTAATGCAAATTTCCATTGAATTGGTACCCATGAAACTCCTAAGTTTCTTGGTATTTTATCATTATCATCTATTTAAGTCTGTATTTTCCCTCTTAGAAATTTACTTGTTACATAGCTGTTATTGACTTTTATCCTGTGATGACATTCTTTCCATTTCTCCCCTTCCGCTCATTATAATTGATCCTCATTATTCGGAGCAACCTTATTTACATTCTTTTTTACTTTTAGTCTTCACCATATCCTTCCAAAACACAGGGGCGGATCTAGCTCTTTGCTAAGGGTGGGTAACCCAAATACAATGTGGAGCATCGTCCACGAGCCGCATAGCGACGAGGCGATTTTGTTCTTGCTATTTTGAACCCCCGTAAGTGATGTATCTTGGCATCTACTAACATGCGGAGCATCGTCCATGAGCTGCAAAGCGGCGAGGCGATTTTTGGTGCTATTTCGAACCCCTGTTAGTGATGTTTTCCTGGCATCTAATGAAATCTACTAATACTGTGTAGGTCTCTGGACACATGATAGCATTTTTCTATGCACATCACATTTTCACTTGGCAGCCCAAGGTGGGAGGGGGGGGGGGGGGATTAAACCCCCTAAACCGCATAGATCCGCCCCTGCAACATCTTTGGTCTTCATTTTCTTCTCAATATTGCTTTACTGGTCAAATTACATTATTTGCTGGTCTTTTAGAACCACCAGATTTCAGAGGATTCGCACTTTTCACAACGAAAAACTTCTCCCGTTTCAGTCCTTGCGCGATCGTCTCCAGCTCCAGCAGATATTGGGAGTCAGCGTGCACACCGGTAATACCGGCGCAGTATAGCCACTGCTGACGGCCGCACTTGCTGCAATTCGAGCTTCCGTTGTTTGTATCGGTAATACTCATATAGATGGGAGAGAAAGCGCCATCTAAGTTCCATTTCATTGGTTTAAGGTTTGAAAATTGATAGTCAATATTGTGTTAAAGTTATATCAGAAAACATAATCTTTATTCTATAATTCCACGGGGGCGATTTTTAATTTTACAATCGCCCCCGTGAGCAACCTGACAGGGGCGATTATGGAGCTCACGGAGGCGAATCGCCCACCGCCCCCGTGTATTTTGAGCGCTGCTCTTGGACATTTCAAAACCAAGAACAACAAAAAACAAAATACTGTAAATAGTACCTTTAATAAACCCATTAGGAAAGCAATTCATTTTGCATGTACAGTGTATTGTGCTCAATAAACAAAGGGCACTCAAGTAAAGTTGAACATCCATGTGCAATACATGAGCCCTACTTGTCTAATATAGCAATTCAGACTTTCATGTCAGTTATAATAGATAATTGAATGTTGTACTAAAAGCCCTTCCCTTCATGTTCATAAAATGGGTTGTATGATTAGAAGGCATTAAACAATGTGTAATTCACATTGGTACATGTATGGTGTTGACAAGCGCTGCCTCTTGAAACCTTAATGACCCCATTTCTATGGTGGCCCTGAAGGGACATCGCGAATAGACTAAATCGTGAAAAATATGCGATAAAATTCACGATATCGTCAATTTTATCGCATATTTTTCACGAAGAAATTCACGAAATTGACGATATCATGAACTTTATCGTGAACTTTTCACGATGAAATTGACGATATCGTGAATTTTATCGTGAAAAGTTCACGATATAAAGTTCACGATATCGTCAATTTTATCGTGTACTCTATCGTGTACTCTCCTGACGGGCGCTTCGTAAACAAAACCAGCCCTAGCTGGGGGAGACAGAGAGAAGGAAAAAAGGGAAAGGGAAAGAGAAGATAAAAGGAAAGAAAGAATAATAAGAAGAAAAGAGGGAAACGGGGGGGGGGGGGGGGGGGGGGGGGGCGAAGGGCTCTTGCCTCCTCCTCACTCCCCCCCCCCCCCCTCCCCGCCAAAAAATAAATCAGAGAGAGAGAGAGAAGGGAAAGGGAAAGGGAAAGAGAAGATAAAAGGAAAGAAAGAAGAGGAAGAAGAAGAAAAGAGGAAAACGGGGGAAGGGCGAAGGACTCTTGCCCCCCCCCCCGCCAAAAAATAAATCAGAGAGAGAGAGAGAGAAGGGAAAGGGAAAGGGAAAGAGAAGATAAAAGGAAAGAAAGAAGAGGAAGAAGAAGAAAAGAGGGAAACGGGGGCAAAGGGCTTTTGCCTCGTCCCCCCGCCCCCCGCCAAAAAATAAATAAGAGAGAGAGAGAGAAGGAAAGGGAAAGAGAAGAAAGAAAGAGAAAAAACGAAAAAGAGGGAGAATAGGAAAGAAAGGAAAAGAAAGAAAAGAAAGGAGGCAAGAGCCCTTCGCCCCTGTTTCCCTCTTTTCTTATTCTTTTTCCTCTTCCTTCTTTCCTTTTATATTTTCTTTCCCTCTCCCTTCTCTTTCCCATTATGGCGGGAGGGGGGAGGGGGAGGTAAGAGCCTTTCGCCCTTCCCCGTTTCCCTCTTTCCGTCTTCTTCTTCTTTCTTTCCTTTTATATTTTCTTTCCCTTTCCCTTTCCCTTCTCTCTATCTCTCTCTCTCTCTCTCCTTTTTATTTGTTGGCGCGGGAGGGGGGAGGAGGCAAGAGCCCCTCTTTTCTTCTTATTCTTCTTCCTTTCCTTTTTTATTCTCTTTCCCTTTCCCTTCTCTCTCTCTCTCTCTTATTTATTTTTTGGGCGGGGGGATGCAAGAGCCCTTCGCCCCGTTTCCCTCTTTTCTTCTTCTTCTTCATCTTCTTTCTTTCCTTTTATCTTCTCTTTCCCTTTCCCTTTCCCTTCTCTCTCTATCTCTTATTTATTTTTTTGGCGGGGGAGGGAGGAGGCAAGAGCCCTTCGCCCTTCCCCCGTTTCCCTCTTTCCTTCTTATTCCTCTTCTTTCTTTCCTTTTATATTTTCTTTCCCTTTCCCTTCTCTCTCTTATTTATTTTTTGGCGGGGGGGGGGGGGGGGAGGAGGCAAGAGCCCTTCGCCCTTCCTCTGTTTCCCTCTTATTCCTCTTCTTTCTTTCCCTTTCCTTCTCTCTCTCTCTCTCTCTCTCTCTCTCTTATTTATTTTTTTGGCGGGGGGGGGGGGGGGGAGGTAAGAGCCTTTCGCCCTTCCCCCGTTTCCCTCTTTCCTTCTTCCTCTTCTTTCTTTCCTTTTATATTTTCTTTCCCTTTCCCTTCTCTCTCTCCTTATTTATTTTTTGGCGGGGGGGGGGGGGGGGGAGTGAGGAGGAGGCAAGAGCCCTTCGCCCCCCCCCCCAGTTTCCCTCTTTTCTTCTTATTATTCTTTCTTTCCTTTTATCTTCTCTTTCCCTTTCCCTTTTTCCTTCTCTCTGTCTCCCCCAGCTAGGGCTGGTTTTGTTTACGAAGCGCCCGTCAGGAGAGTACACGATAGAGTACACGATAAAATTGACGATATCGTGAACTTTATATCGTGAACTTTTCACGATAAAATTCACGATATCGTCAATTTCATCGTGAAAAGTTCACGATAAAGTTCACGATATCGTCAATTTCGTGAATTTCTTCGTGAAAAATATGCGATAAAATTGACGATATCGTGAATTTTATCGCATATTTTTCACGATTTAGTCTATTCGCGATGTCCCTTCAGGGCCACCATACATTTCACCACATTTCAATCACCACGTTACAGTGTGTTGAATGGATCTATTTGACAGGGTACAACATTGAAGAAAGTAATAGCATGGACCTGGGGAAATAATAACACTTCAGGACTGGGTTTGGAGCCTAGCTGAGAGTGTTAAAAATAGCCCAAATGGCAACATACATGATGGGAGAGGGGAAACGAGAGAAACCCTGGGAGAACGAGATCAGTATTTCTAACACACACAGGAGACATCTATAGGCAGTTTGAGGTGGGAGGAAGAAGTATTCACAGACGAACATCAATGAAAACAAGTCAGTCTTCAGATCATGAGTGGAAATTACAATCGTGACACTGTAATAGATTACGATAGGAATGATAGCCTTTTTTACATGGACGGTCAATTTGTTTAAATTTAAAAACTAAAACAATTGAGAGGATACTGCTGCAAGATTTCGTCATAGTAAAACGTAACATTTTGATGGTCAGGTGGCCTACCTTACCTCACAGGTCAGAATAATTTGGTGTAGTTCCAAATGCTAAAAATTTTGTTGAAGCCCTACATTCAGATGTGTGTCTTTTTCTGTTAACCACCTAGTTTCTGACAAAAGTGAAACAGGGATTTAAATAATTGAGATGTTACAGCTCTTGGCTACACCATTCTTAATTTTAGGGGTGTTTTCCTAAAATCCCTTTATGCCAGAATGGTAAATCCTCCTTGGTATCAAACTTGTATGTTTACGGACCAAACCATTCTTAGTATGAGGGGTGTTTTCCTACCGTGAGGTCTCTATTGATGATGGGTGTCTGGCAATGATGAAGCCTTCTGCTTTAACAAATGAATCTAAACCCCCTTTATGCAAGAATGGTAAATCCTCCTTGGTATCAAACTTCTATGTTTACGGACCAAACCATTCTTAGTATGAGGGGTGTTTTCCCACCGTGAGGTCTCTATTGATGATGGGTGTCTGGCAATGATGAAGTCTTCTGCTTTAACAAATAAACCTAAACCCCCTTTATGCCAGAATGGTAAATCCTCCTTGGTATCAAACCTCCATGTTTATGGACCAAACCATTCTTAGTACGAGGGGTGTTTTCCTACCTTGAGGTCTCTATGGATGATGGGTGTCTGGCAATGATGAAGCCTTGAGACTGCCTCGCAGACGTTGCAGAATATTCTCAGGACTTCTTGCTCCGTGAACCCTACCGAAAGCCTCTCGTTCATCTGCTGGACAACATGGCCATCTGTGACCATCAGAAAAAGAAAAGGAAAAAATCATTGTCAACGTGATAATTCAAGTCCCTTGCATAAAAGATGTGGTGAACAGAGTAAAATCCATGAATGGTCCCTGGGTTGTAAAGATATAGAAAAGTGAAGCTGACATGGATTACATTTAAATCTCATATATATTTCTTTTGGAGTGTGAACAATGTACAAGAATTACCTAACTTCTGAATCTTCCCGACAACTACCTATATGTTCCAGAAGTTACAGAATCTGAACTTTGAAGACTGAAGATGCTTCAAATTTCAATGAATGTTCATATCATGCAAGCAATACAGAGTCATCTTCCAATTTATGCATCTATTCTAGTCTCCCTGTATCTTCTTAAAAACTACATGTATGTTCTAAAATATACTGCAAACGTAAACAGGAATGAAAATGCATCACATTTCATTGCTGCAAGGAAACTTACATGTACTCCCTTGGGAAGGAAAAGAAAAGACAATTAGAGTGGTTTGTAATGTGATCGCTGATTCCATTATCAAACTTCTCAATTTAGCCATGACTATTCCCAGAAGTTATACATGTAGCCCTTTCAAACAAGAGGAAACATACATGTATACTGTATTTGAATATGTACATGTATACTGTACAAAGAATCACTCTGATAGGCCATTTTCGTATGAGGTCATGAATCTTTAATAAGTGCCATGTTTTATACAAATGATTTCATTCACCTGTTACAAATAATTGTATTACAATACCGGTAGTCAATAGCTGACAACCGTAATGCCACAGCAGCACAATGAACATACAGGATAAGAATATTGCATTTGGAACACTGTACCAAGAAACTAGCTTGGGAGTGATGTGTACCGGTAGATATAAAAACGAGGCATAAAAAAGAGGCCCACATTTACATGTCATATTTAGAATATTAAGGCTTTTGAAGAGACATGCTTTTCGGGTAACATTTTGTCTCTGATGTCCTTCCACTTTTGCATAATAACAATGAAAACGCTCACAAATCATTTTTCACCTCTCCCCAGAACTCAACCTTCTCTTTAATTACAGTCTTGATACAATGTTCATTTGTGCTAATGACCTTGATGATTACTCGGAATCTCAGATTACACAACATTATATACTTTCATAAATTTCTGGGAAGAGATTCATTAATGTGTATAGCTGGGCATTTTATCATACAAAACATTGCACAGCTTTGCTAGTCGCAAAGGGGAGGGTGTCAAATAATGCAAATGGAGTATTGCATCCATGTGTAGCCTATCAAATTATCAATGACCTTTACATCAATTAGAATACAATACTATTTCACAAATAACCTCCTTCTTCTGTTCACAATGGATGGTGTAATTCCATGATTTTTCTCTCAAATTACAGTTTTTTAGTACAAAAATGGCAAACACTTTCACTTCTTAGATTAGAAGGAAGATTGTAATGTATATCGTGAGATCGTGACTATACCTAGATATGTTGCTTCAATGTCCTTCCTTATCAAATGTGTATCTGTATTTTTCTTCTTTAAGATCAAGCAAATACCGGTAGATACTTTTAAGATGTGAATTTGAAATGAAATGGAATAGATATGCATTCTTTGAATGATTTTGCTGCAAACTTATAATCAGCTTCATTGCTCTCAATCTTCATTAATCTCTCCATCGTTATAAAATGCGATCTACTGAGTGAAGGATTATTGATTTAATGGTTCAATTTGTTAGATGATTGAAACAGAACCAGCCCCTCCCAAACACCTCTGTGGCACAGTCCAGCCTCTTGCATGTATTAACATTTCCCTGGGAAGGCCAGCAGAGATAATTTGCCTCCACATTAGGCCTGTCCTCATCAGCTGAGATTGCAAAATAACCCGCTTAATCTGATTTGGGAAATAATCCAGAAGTTACAAATCTTGTCTTCATCTGCTCGAGACTTGACCTCGAAACTCGAGCTCAAGAATTTAAATTTCTCAAGAGATTTTGCTCAGTGTTCACGCATAATGCGAGTCTTCGGGCTGGTTAAGATGCACCGGACAACTAGCAGGATATTTTGACAAATAATGGGATATTTTACAAACTGGCCCAAGATATCTTGGGATGATTATCTCGACCAAATATCCCGCTTATTGCAACCTCTGGCCGATGAAGACGCAAATTAACTGGATAATTTGCAATTAGGAATAGTTCAAATAGCGAGATATTTCGCAATCACGAGCTGATGTAGACATACATGTACCTACAGTGGGCTGTGGCTTATCTTTCAAGTACACAGAGTAGATGAACTTGCCAAGGTGGTTTGGAGGCACTCAAGATGAGCCAGCACTACTCTGCAGGGACAGTCTTTAATTTAACACTTAGGGCGCGTTCATGCTTGATTTTGAAGGCAGAATGAGCGATTTGTAACGCTCATCGTAAACGCTCATCGTAATCGCAGTTCCACGGTGCACTGTTCATGCTCACTTCTCCAGGCAATTCTCCTTGGGTGGCCTTCAGCTGGATTCGCAAACCTGTGTGCGCATGCTACGTAGACCCACTAGAGGTCAGTGCGTTGACCCCATTTAAACGCGTTTACAAATTGTAAACGCATCTTTTTGTGAGTTTACGATCGGCGATCGTGATCGCCGTTTTTCGGGTGATTCTACAAAAGTGAGCATGAACGCAAGCGTGTTTTAAACTAAACGCGTAACAGATGCCCGATTCTAGCCGTCAAAATCAAGCATGAACGCGCCCTTAGAGACAATTTCGTAAACTCTTGAGCAGAGCCTAGCTACAGTACACAGTACCATACAGCTACAGTACACAGCCTACATGTATGTGGTGCAGTAGACTATGCATTTGGCATAGTGGCATAGTCTCTAAGCTCTGATATTTTTACATACTACGACCAAGAATAGTTTGTGCCTGTAAACTATGCCGCTACCCACATTTACATACATGTAGATTAGAATGCATACATGTATTTACATGTAACATCTGTACACTGTAGATACAAACACATAGTTCAGACTCCAGAGTATACACTGATAGCATTAAATTAAAACTGCATGAGAACACCATTGGTAGTACTACAATGTAAGTTCATCTTAATTTGCTTAAGATAATCTCCAGTTGGTAATGATACAAAATTAAAACTACATGTACTGTATGTATGAATTATGATATCTATTATCTCCTTCCAAATATTTCTGAAAGATAATGTGTACTAGCAAAATCATGAGGCACTTCATGAAAAGTCATGACTACAGTACATTGCATGCTACTTAGGCCTACAAGCTACATGTACAATGTACATGTAGGCCTATGGTCCAGTTGAATACCTCTATGCCTAGATGTGTTATAAGATAATTCAGTTGTGAACAGGTCAAAGAGAAGGTTGAGTTCTGGGAAGAGGTAAAAAATAATTTGTGAGCGTTATCATTGTTATTATATGCAAGGGTGGAAGAACATCAGATTAAACATGTTCCCTGAAAAGCATGGCTCTTCAAATGCCTTTATATTCTAAATATGACATGAAACATCGTAAAAATCGGGGGGTAGGTTTTTTTCGCCATGTGCTCGTGTAGTCCCATATACATCATTCTGTATACAGTGCTTTTAACTTTGCCAAGATTTGACCAAATTTCTTATCATTTTGATGATTCCAGAACCTTGCAATACACACAAATACTATACTAGATGATCAACCTTTTCTGATAGATTCCACACCGTTTTTTTCACAATGCAATCAAATGACCAGAACTCAACTTTATCTTTAATAAGTGCTTGACACTAGAAGGCACTGTGATACATACATGGGCTCCCAAAATCTCAAATGTTAACATACATGTAGGGCTCATGCATACAGTCTAAAAATTTTATTCCGGCCCACTTCCCCCAAAGTTAATGTGGAGCCTTTGGTTAAAGGTATAGTTGAGTATTGGTAATTTCCAAAGTGCCCCTCCAAAACAAATTTGGTTTATTTCAGTACCATATGAAAGATCATCGAAAAAAACATGGGAGATGATAATAATTCCAAATCAAATGCTCTAATTGTTGTGCAATTTGCTTTCAAAACATTATATAAAAGTGTTTGACGTCCGGACATCACTTTTGACTTTCGACGGTTTATTTTTTGAATTTACGTGTTTAGCTCCCTCTATGTCATTTAACAACCAGCGTATTTACAACGAGTGTTTGAGTTCGTTGGTACGTACAGTACTACAGGTAGCTAGCAGGCGGGTATCCGAGCGCGCGCTAGTAATACAGTACAGCTGATCAATTCCAATACGCCCCTATACAAATTTCAGTACGCTAACACGCGAGCTCGTCAGCGTGCTCGCCCACGAGTTCGTCGACGAACTCGCGGACGAACTCGCAGACGAACTCGTTTCGTTCCAAATATGCAAATTAGCTACGAGCATGCACGCGAGCTCGTTGACGAGCTCGTTGGCGAGCTCGTTGGCGTGCTCCAAATATGCAGCTCGTCACTGGCCGATAAGCTCGTTGGCGAGCTCGTTGGCGTGCTCGTTGGCGAGTTCGTACGAGTTCGTACGAGTTCGTCGACAAGCTCGTCAACGAGTTCGTACGAGTTCGTCAACGAGTTCGTCAACGAGTTCGTACGAGTTCGTCGACAAGCTCGTCAACGAGTTCGTCGACAATCTTGTGGAAAAAAAATGGCTGCGAGCTTAATGGCGTGCTCAACAGCATGTTGGCATTAAGGACTTTTAGATTTGCGTGGACTGAAACCTGTGACGTCCATTGAAGGCAGTGCATAAAAAGGACGTCGACCGTAGCAATCCACATTGTCTTCGTGCAAATCTAAAAGTCCCTATTGAGAACTAATTTGTGTCTACATATAGAGGTGAACTTGATGATCCTGTTGAGCTATTGGCATGCATATATATTTATCTAACTTATCAACCTTCCAATATCCTGTTAACATCTGCAGGCTGGCTGTGCAGGGACAATTCAGTTGGCAAGCTGGTGAAGAATACAGTGATCCTCTTTAGAATAAGGGAAAGTTAAAA